ATGCCATCTCCGCGTAGCCGTTGACACCTTGTTCTCGCAGGATGGCAACCCGCGGCCTGGATCCGACCAAGTTCTTGAACGAAGCCATCATGGGCAGGGCAATGTCTGCAGGGTCATATGTGAGGCGGTACGAAATTCCGGGGTCCTTGGAGTCGGACAGTGCAGAAAATTCCTGCTCGGCGCAAGCTGGGTTGTCTCTAAGCTTCTGCATTTCGTACGAGGTGCTTGACCACCACTGCTGCATCTGGGCCCGATCCAAGTCTGCAAGCACGGTGGATCTGTGCCGGACAACGAGCGACTGCTTGGTCGCTTGCCTCACGAAACCAATCTTTCTGATGAGGCCAGGTGGCGGTCCACAGGTAGCGAAACACTTCATGAACCTGGTCTCATCGGATTTTCTGACTTGGAAAACAGCACCAAGCTCTTCATTGAAGAGCGCATCGAGCACGTCGGAAACCGACTCAGACTTGGCAATGCCGCTGAGATCGATATCCGCACCACAACGACCAGCAAACATCATCTCAGCAACAGTGGCGAGAAGACCACCATCTGATCTGTCGTGGTAGGCGAGAACAATGTCTTCCTCGTGCAGTTGAGAAAGCGCGTCAAAGTAGTCCTTGATGAGCTCCGTATCTCTGACATCGGGAGCTTCGTTACCGAGTTGGCCGAGGGTCTGCGCCAGTGCCGATCCACCCATGGCTTTGCGACCTTCGGCGAGATCAACAAAGATGAGAATGGAGTCACCGACATCTTCAACGCGGCGGAGTTGAGGAGTCCAAGTGCTACGGACATCCTCAACCAGCGAGAAAGCGGAAATGACGACTGTCACAGGGGCCGTGACGCTGTTGGTTTGGCCAGTGGCCTTGTCCTTCCAGGATGCTTTCATCGATGTGGAATCCTTGCCCACCGGGATGGATACGCCCAGCTGAGGACAAAGCTCCATACCGATGGCCTTCACGGCCTCATATAGGGCCGGCCCTTCTCCAGGGTGGTTTACAGCCGCCATCCAGTTGGCGGAGAGCTTCACTCTTCGCAGGTCGCCACGGACGTTCTCCTGATTCTTGATGTTTGCGGCGCCCAGGTTCATCAGAGACTCCACAACAGCCATGCGAGCCGAGGCAGCAGGGGAAATCAGGGCCAAGGTTGGCTTTTCGCCCATTGCCATGGCCTCTCCACCCCGGGTCTTCTCGTCAATGCCAAAAGATGTCATGGTCACAGCGACGTCGGCAACGGGCACTTGCCAAGGACCAACGAGCTGGTCTCGTGCAGTCAATCCACCCACGGACTAGCAAGCTTTTGTTAGCCATATACCCACAAGATTGGTTTCCATTCGATTCTACTTACCCGGTCACCGATGGTGATGAGGAACATCTTGGAACCGACCGAGGGCAGTGTAAACACAAGTTCGGTAGCCTTGGTAATCGATCCGGTAAGATCAGAAACATTGAACTTTTCCTTCAGGCTGTCTGCCGCGTTGAAAGGGGAGAGCGGTCTCTTCACCGTCTGCACATCCTTCTCCAGTCTTCTTCCTGGGGGGAAAAGGGCATCCATAGGCAGGTCAATAGGGACAGGATGCTCAGATGACTCCCGGTCACTGAGAATCAATCTTGCTCCGCCCTTGGCGTCCTTCGACATGACGGTTCCCACGTTAGAAAAGCCGCAACGCTCGCGTTGGCAAATCTTGGTGAAACGGTTGATACCCTCCTTGTTGACGAGCAGGACGTATCGTTCCTGAGCCTCATTGCACCAAATTTCCAGCGGGCTCATGTTGCTGCCGGATACCTCGACCTGCCGCAGCTCAAACTTTCCACCGAATCCGGCGTCCTTGACCAATTCAGGCAGAGCATTCGATAGACCACCGGCGCCGACATCGTGAATCATGGCAATAGGGTTCTGCTCGCCGAGAGCAACACAGGTGTTGATGACCATCTGGGCGCGTCTTTCCATCTCAGGGTTTCCACGCTGCACGCTGTCAAAGTCCAGGTCTGCACTAGCCTCTACAGACTGGTTGCTGGAGGCAGCACCACCACCCAGACCAATGAGCATGGCCGGGCCTCCCAAAACAATGACGTGGGCGCCATCATGAACGTCGTCTTCGCTCTTTAGAGCATTTTGCGGCCTCACGGTACCGAGACCTCCAGCAATCATGATCGGCTTGTGATATCCTCTGTAGCCACCCTGCTCGGGCTCCTCAGGTGCCAGAAGAGTTCGGAAAGTGCCGGTCAAGGCAGGTCGACCAAACTCGTTGTTGAATCGAGCACTTCCAATGGGAGCCTCCAGCATGATATCCAGACTGCTAGCATAGTGGGCTGGCTTGTTGATGTCCAGTTCCCACGATCTCTTCTGTCCTGGGATCAAGAGGTCGGAGACCCAGAAGCCAGCAAGACCACCTTTCGTGGTAGAACCTCTGCCTACAGCACCTTCATCGCGAATCTCACCACCAGAGCCTGTAGCAGCACCTGGGAAAGGAGAAATGGCAGTGGGATGGTTGTGAGTCTCAACTTTGGCAAGCATGTGGACGACCTCCTTAGTCAATTTCCAAGAACCCGAGTTGTAGTCTGGGGCCCAATAATTGGCTACTTCACCCTGAACAACTGCAGCATTGTCACTGTAGGCAGACACGGTATAATCAGGCGTCGTCTTGTGGGTGTTCTTGATCATTTCGAAGAGACTCTTGTCCTGTCGCTGGCCGTCAATAGTCCAGGCTGCGTTGAAAACCTTGTGTCGGCAATGCCTGTAGATATACAGTCAGAAACTGGGCTAGACAACAGATTGGGAAGGCATCAGCTCCTTACTCGGAGTTCACTTGTGCAAACATGAACAGTTCAACATCATGAGGTGGGCGGCCAAGTTTCTGGAAGACGCCAACCAGATATTCCATCTCGGCCTGGTCAAGACCCAGTCCCTTCTTCTTGTTGTAGTCCTGGAGTACAGAAAGAGGTTCTTGGTCACCGGCAAAGATATCGACAACCACAAGGGGAGACTGTGCGCCAGCACTAAACATATCGACGGTACTCGGTGGTTCGAACGTGAGGGACTCGGTCATGCGATCGTAGATGACATCACGGAAGGTCAAGGCCTGTTCGCCGCTAAAGGGCGCATCAAACTGGATGGTAATGCGCTTGCCTCTTTCAATGCGGTTGACGGTCTCTCTGAGACCACAGACGTGGGCAATGGCAGTAGCTTTGGAGCTCCATGGCGAAATGGTGTTCCGAGGGGTAATGTAGATGTTCAAAGAGTTGTTGGCATCCTGGGCAGCGGCGGTCTCGTTGGTGTAGTCCAAGTCGAGGAGCTGCTCGACCTGGTCGCGGCCAGACTTTTTTACAGCCTTGAAGTCGACATAGTACAGCCAGTGGCCGCTGATGTCGTTGACCTTGACCTCGCTGAGGTCGTTGATGCGGGCTAGGAGCTTTTGAGCTTCGGCAGTCGTGAAGCACGACAAGCCAGTTAAGACCTCGTGCGACATTGCTGGGAACTTGGAGGAGGAGGGCTCCTTCCAAAGCAAGAGAATTTCGTCTCGGGGAGAGGTAGAGTATGGCGACTCGTGATGAGTATTTGCGACTTTGCAGAGTCACCAGCAAAAGGAAGAGAGGAGCCCCTCTACCGGCGAGCTGGGGAATTTTATTTCTCTTATCGCTTATCCGATGGCGGGGTCTTCAGGCAAAGTGGAACCATTCAGTCATAATAATAGTACGCAGCATTCAGTGATTTTTTCTTCGTTTTTAATTATTCCGCATCGTGACTAGTAGAGATGGATAAATAAGAATGAAACATGGGGTTTTCTATTTTACAAAATTAATTTGACCTCTATCAATCCCATCTGGCTTTGAAATCCTCCCATCCCATTAAGGCTCTGGCCACGTTGTCGAAGGAATGTAAGATTCTGTCTTGAGTACCTGTGCTACAGTCAGCCTTGGAAACAGACCTTTCACGATCGTCGCATTACCCATCCATGGTCTCGCCTTAGCTTTGAACAATAACAGCGAGATCGGAAGATGTTGGAAAGAAAATTTGCCTGAGGGATGCCAGTTGATTTGCACAGTCACCATAGCCGAGATTCATCTTTATTGCTTGTACATTTTTGTCGTGTTGAAGTTTCATCTAACCTAGGTGTTTGGCTCATGTCACTGCTTGGATGAATTATTCTTCACAGACGAGAGAGGTGAATTGCGATCGATTCTCTGCCTTTCTGGTACTGACATTCTGAAACATCCGTTTAGTGCTGCTCTAGAACTCATCTGGCAACGTGGGATCTCGCAAAATAAACAAGCCATTAGAGTTTACCAGCCAAACCTCATGCCTTCAATTCTGTCTTGTACCAAGTCCGAACCGGCCCCTGGCAGTAATAGCTCTGTACTCTGTAAAGTCTATTCGAAACAAAGTAGAAAATAAATATAAACAGAAAACTAAGCCTTACAGTATTCATCTAGCTCAGTGCTGACTGGTCAGTGGCAGCTGGCGTTGTGACGTTCCGGCGTTCCCCACATCTACGTATTTTCAATGTTGTACTGAGCACAGACCAAGAGTCCAGGACAGTCTCGGCGTCGGCCAATGATCGACTTTGAAGCGCGGCCCCTAAACCAAGCGATCCCTAAAGCGGACCCAAAGTAAACAAATCCCCCGCGTAGCTTGACCCTGAGTCCCTGACATCACCCTCTCATTTTTCCACTTCTGAGATCATCGCATTGACCATTGACTGGTCCTGCTAGTAATAGTCGACTTGCTGACTTTCGCTTGGCTGGCTCAAGTTGGAAAATTGTTCTTTCTCAAGAGATCGATATTATCACCACAACCGCCACCATGTCGCCTCCTAGACGACGGTCCGCTCGTATTGCGAGCGCATCCAAGGTATGTAAACAAACAATCAGCTGACCGCCACACCACCAGCGCATGCTGCAAACGGCCTCGGAGACACTTCATTCAGGGCCTCCAGATCGCTGATTGATATCCTACTCCTTTAGAACCCGAAAGCTTCCGTACAACCCCGACTTGGCTCAGTCATGGAGGGAGATGAAGAGCCCACAGCCCAGCAACCTCAGAGCCTTGACGCCATCATGTCTTCGCCTATGCCGCCAAAGCCCACCACTCCGCGCAGTGTTGCTCCCATGAAGCCCGCCATGTCCGAGATGCATCCCAGCAGAGTTCACCAAACGATGGCTCCCCCGTCTTCAGGCCTCAAATTCGGATTTGTCGACATCAACGCCAATGCCAGAACCCGCGAACAGCCTTCGGGCATCACCCAGACCACGCCATCCAAGACGCCACGCGCCCCTTCTACTGACTTTACCTTCCGTGTTGCTAGTCCCACGAGCGGTGAGCTGGGTCTTGGGCCCGAAGCGCAACGCATGATGGACGAGCTGCGCGAACAGGCAGCTGTGCACAAGGCGAGAATTATCGCCGAACGCCAACAAGAAAAGCTGGAGAAGGAGCAGGCAAGCCAAGATGCCCGAAAGATTGCTTCCGCAAAGGGCAAGATGGGACGTTTCAGTGACGTCCATTTGAAGGAGTTTAAGAAGATGGACTCGATTGCGACCCCTGGCACACACACAGTCACAAAAGCCTTCAATTTTACTCCCCTAAAATCTGGTATGAAGCGGAGCCAATCTAAAGCCAATCTCGACGAACCGGCCTCCACTTCACGCAAGGCCCCTGCCACAACGCTGGACTCTAAATCCCACCAGAAGCCCAAGGACAGACCAGAGATACCTGCAAAGCGCGTCAAGCAGCGCGTTGAAGATGATGCATCATCCGCCCGTCCAGTCTCGCGGGATGGCAGCAATATCCCCCGACCCAAGAGCAGCGGTAGTGACTCCATTCGAAGTGGTATTCCGCGCTCACAAACTATGACAAACATCATGACTCCGACTAAGGCCTCTGCAGCAAAGGGAAGTCTGAACAAGACTCCCTCGGCCACTTTGGCGAAATCATCTACGAAGCCAGACTTGACTGCATCTGCCCAGCCTTCTAACAGATCAAAGCTGGGCAGTCTCATTAGGTCGCCGACTCGATCCGACCTGTCATCTCTGCTCAAGTCTCCCGGCAAGACGGGCATCGATGGCAGCCTAAAGAAGTCTGCTACAACCAACAGCTTGGGTACTTCGACGAGTATTCCCTCACTTGTTCAAACACCTGGTCGATTTGATAGAGTCAAGTCCATCCTAAAGAGACAAATCAGTGTATCAAAGTCCAGAACCCAACTGCCACACTTTGGTAGCAGCACGACACAACCCCCAAAAACGCCCGGCAAATCGCAAAAGGACGTTCTCGCTGTCCCCATGACAACACCTGGACAGAAATTCGGCAAGCATGTCGAGTTCACCCCCGATACCAAACAGGCTACTCTAACTCAGAACTCGCCCTCACCAATGAAATCGGGTATTCCGAGATCCAGGTCGTTCAAGAAGATTCCTGCACCAAACTTCCAGTCACTGTCTGCTGCTGTCAGCGTCAAGTCCCCCGCAGATGAAGTCACTTATCCTGACCTCTCAGCTTATCAAGAAAAGCCCGAGGAGGATATCAAGGTAACTGTTGATTCAGAGGATTCCAGCGTGCTTCCTAACGGTGTTCCTGGGACCTTTACATTCCGAAGTGACCACACGATTCGCTTCCACAGCGCTTCTCCTAATGGCTTTGGTGGTGCGGCTGGACAGGCGAGCCTCCGTCAAGTCAGAGCTTCCGTGGGTCCTGGTATAAGTATGCCTGGAGCTTACCCAACCATCAACGAACCAGCATCTCCCAACAAGGAGAACAAGGACCCTGGTGTAATCAGTGGCATTGCTCACGGCATGTCGAACAAGAAGCGACACCGGGCTGTTTGGGATGATGAGGAGGTCAAGACTGGTATCTCTCATGGCCTCTCAAACAAGAAGCGCGGCCGAGCGGACTCGGATGACGAGCAGGAGCAAGATGAAGGGGCTCATCGTGGAGCTAAGAAGCTTCGCAAGAACCCGACAGCTGCTGAGGGTCAAGCACTTGTTGCTCCCAGACTTACGGGCACCCCTTCTCCCAAGAAGACGCTTCAGCCGCAACAAAGGTTCGCCAGTACATCTGGTACGCCCAGTCCACAGAAGAAGGGAATTAGCATGAGCCGTCTCAATATGCTGGCTCGGCCCAAGATTCGCAAGTAGTGGTATGACTTGGAGAAGGATGTACATTTGACCTGGCGGATACCCGAGGCCGGAATTATTGGCTATGGCATCAACGATTGGTTCCGTGACCCGTTGATGGAATTGGTGTTTTTGATTGCGTTTTGTTGGTTGGTCTATTCATTTGGCACCTTCATGAGTCTTGCTCTGGTTTGAGCTGGTTGATTTGCACATGTTGTATGAGTACAAAAAACAGGAGTTAGGATTGTCATTTGTGTTACAAGGTCCAGGGCGTACGAGGGAAACATTTGATCATGACGGTTTTCTTTGCAGATAATACATCAGAATATTGTTTGATGATGCTGTGCACATTGGCTCATCTGAGTGTGACAATTAATTTATTGAAGTTGCCGAAATCATTGGAAGCGCTTTCCTGTGTCGATGCAACTACATGACAGAGCCTTCTCTCTTAGCGCGCACTGAGGAATGCAATCAATCCCCAGCTTGTTGGAACGTACCCAACATAGCCTCATCATCAAATGAAAGACTTATCAAAAAACTTGTAAGAATCAGTAAACATCTCCTACCTCAGTACATTCTTTGAATATCATTGCCTTCAAGCCTTGTCGCCATCCACCACTAGCGTGCCCTGGAGATAGTGTCGAATGCCATCGCGATATCCACGACCTACAGCACACTCCATGGCAGCACGTCCGAATCTATTCACATGTACCTTCTGCTTCCATCTCGTGAATGGCCCACCCCGCGTTCTTGGTCGCAGCGTACGTCTCGCCTGCGAATCCTGCTACAATGTCATTATTGACCTCGCCATATGCTGGGTATGCGGGGAAATTGTTTACCGTGGCGAAGAATGCGTAAGCCTTGGCTAGTGCTTTTGGCATCGTGGCTGCTACGGATGTCTCTTCTGCGGGTGTAAGCGGGTTGTGAAAGGACCGTCTCTGAGGGAGGTTTTCGATGACGTGCACGTCTGTGGTGTGGCTGAGGATGCACAAGTCGGCGGCGGCTGCAGGAACCCTGGATCAAGCGCGGCAGGCAAGGAAGTCGACGAAGTTCCCATGTGTGCAAATTGCATGGTAGAAGTTGAAGATGACAGCCCAGAGACGGTCGTCCAGAAAGCCATCAGAAGAGTGGAAAGAACAGATGCTGGCCTGAGTCGACAGCGATGGGAGAGAGGGGTGGCCATTTCCAACGACGAAGGCCAAGAATCTCCCCACAGTTCTAAAGTCAGGACTCAAAGGTCCACGAGATCAGGACCAGTCTCCCAAGTCCTCCAATCGGTACAGATTGGTCACGATGGCATTGCTGATCATACCTTGAGCCATGCTCCTTGCACTGTGCCTTTGGATTCGACCATTTATGTCAGCATCAAAGACCCCATTGGTCTTTCAGCTTTCAAGCCAAGCCCTACGAAGCCGATTCCGCAGCGAATGCTTCCCCCTTGGAAGATGCTTCCAAGCCAGCTAGCGACTTCTAGAGAAGTGAATCGTCGCCCTCACCCAATATTGGATGACCAACTCGGAGTCACGATGCTGGACAAATTCCCGAGCCCCATCATCGAAGAATCAGAGACAATTTGTCCCACGGCCATACAAACACCTACTCGTGTTCTTTCGCCGCAAGATCAAGAGAAAGGAGTAGACAGGGCCCCAGAAACTGAGCAGAAATCAACCAAGAGCTCCAAAATTGTAAACAGTCCTCCAATCATGATTCCTCAGGCCCGTGGGTTATCTTTCGTAAGCACGGAATCTCTACAAAGACCATCTAATGTCAGCCGAAAAAGTACTGGCGACTCCAAATCTTCACAGGGGAGCGACCTTATTTCTACACCCGCTTCGCCTCATCCGATTCTTTCACGAAGCTCAAGCATCAAGCCAAAAGTTCCATTGATTTCCAACTCGCATAGTCAGTGCGCCGCGGTGACTCCAGAGAGGTCTAGTCCAAGCCTATCCTACGCACATTTACGAACGCCCTCGCCGTTTTCTCAAGTTACTGCATATATGAAAACCAAGACCGCCAGAACGTCGCTGCCTCGAATCAAGGATGGACCTGAGTTCCAAAAGTCAGAAAGGTCCGAAGTCAGCAACCAGCGGATAAACACGGCTAGTTTAGCTGTAGCTGGACGTGGAAGAGTGAAGCGCATTGGTCATTGGCAGCAACAACAGCAACAACTATCCAACTCTCCAACTATGGAAGAAGCATCTCAAGGAGCAAGGTTTGTTCAGACTCGAGGAGACCTCAAACGAAACATTGCACAAGGGGACTTGTGGACGATATTTGGCGCAGGACAGAGTAATGGCAAATGAAATGTTGCTCATGGCAAATAGTAGATAGTGAGTATACCTAAGTTGATTGTGTGTGCTTGAGATTTCTTTCCAGGAACCCATTGGGATCTGTGCTTCATTGCCCTCATTTTGTTAGTCGAGTATGGTACATTTCCAATCTTGTCAGCAAATCCTGACCTAAACATTACAGCATCGCCTCAAACCTTAATCTTCTGACCCAACTTGACCCCAAAAGGCTTCCTCAAGATTAACTTTTGTGTTACTATCTGTCAAAATAAACAAGAATAACACCGAGCTGGGCTTGGAATGCTTGTCTGAGCGCATGACTTTCGTAGAGCATGCCTCAGGTCGATTCGGGTTCGATTCCCGGAGCAGCGATTATTTTAACAATTTTCATCCTTTCGCTCTTCGTTCCTCATCGCCAGCGAATAACTGCCGCACACGGTGGGAATATATGATGAAAAGTAACACATGCTCATCTGCTCTTGAGAAATCGATTCGCTCCGCGTGAAGAACCAGCTCTCTGGGATTTTCACCAATACGTACACAGGTAGAGAATATGGAAATGATACAATTCGGGAAATATGAATTATTATCTCAACAGCAACAGTATCTTGTCGAATTGTCACTGCACAGATCTTCCATGAGCCATCTTGAAATACATGGCACATTCTTGTGTGTTCAATTTACATGTGAACAATAGATCATCCAGCCCCACCCAAAAATCGATTGTAGAATCTGGGGTAAGTACCTAGGTACCCTGCACTAAGGTGCCTAGCAAGCGCCTTGAGGGGACCTTGTAGCGAGCCGCAACTTTTTGGGGGCGCCATTCAATGTTGTCTCACCCCACTCCACTCCCGACATCACAGCTTCATTGTACCTACATTTGGTCAACATACCTGCCTGAGTCTACGCAAGTTGGCCTTATCAAAGACGACCATTTCGTAGGGACACTCACCAAAATGGCACCCATGGCACCCGCAAGCCATGATGAGCTGGAAGGTATGTCGTGTTTGGCTTGTCCCCAGATCATCTCAGAGAACAATTGCTAACGGCCATCTGCGCGCGCCTTGCAGCCCAGCTCAAGGAGTCCATCCAGTCCATGTACAACATCCTCGTCCAGACCACGGCCTACGACACAGCCGCCGCCTCCTCGGGCTCGTCCACCACCTCGCGGCCGTCGCGCGACGTCCTGGCCGCCGAGATCAAGTCGCTGCAGCAATCGCTCCAGGCGATCCACCGCACCGCCACCACGCCGTCGCCCGAGCAGAGCCTGCCGCACGTCCCGCCCGAGCTGATCCAGTACGTCGAAAACGGCCGCAACCCCGACATTTACACGCGCGAGTTTGTCGAGCTGGTCCGTAGGGGGAACCAGCTCATGAAGGGCAAGCAGGTCGCGTTTCGCGGGTTTCGCGACATCCTGGCCGACGAGATTTCAAAGGCCATGCCCGAGCTCCACGAGGACGCCCGTCGTGTGGTCAAGGCTACGGATTTCCCGTCTTCTTCCTAGGTCGATGGTAGCGGCGAATTCGACTTTTCTCTTGGAACTATTTGATGCAGAGAGGACATTGACGGCACGATGAGGTGGTGTGTTTCGAGTTTTGGGCCTCTTGAGGGTTGTTTATTTCATTAAATTGGGAGTTTCGGGGCATCATGGCATGGCAAGGCGCATAGGGCATAGGATAGGGACATGATACCCTCACACTTGATCATTCTAGAGGTGTACAAAAGACTAGGTTATTTTCACTGGCACGGAATCATCCTCATTTGACACTTTTGTCTTTTTGTCTTGGCTACAGGCACATCAAGACGGGAAAGGTGAATTATGAATCCTTGACCTCCAATGGTCACACACTCTGTAAAAAGCCTGACTGTGCTCGGCATCGCCGAGTTTTGTAAACCAACCGCTTTTTCAAAACCAGAAACAAGAAGAGACCGAAAAACAACAAAGCAGGCAGTGATTGCGTTCATCTGCGAACACCCATGAGTTGCTCAAAACGGAAATCATGACTGTTCGGGTGGTACATGAGTTGTGCGTGTACATCCTCCAGGCCCTCGGCCGCGACCAGGTCGTGCCAATCCCGCATGTAGGGCTGCAATTCATTGTAGAATGCGCGAGTGCGCAGGTGTGGCCGACAGCTCATCTCGATGAACATGGTCTCGGGGAAGAGACCATAGCGAGTTTGGACAAGGCGGAGTTTGGGGTTGGGAACAAACTCCTGTGCTTGTGGATCTGTGAAATAAAATAATTTAGTTAATTTTTTTTAAAAAAAAAAGTTTATTTTTATTTTAGTCAAGGCGTTCTCTCGAAATATTTTCGAGAAAAAAAAAATCTTATCTGGGTAATTGCAGAAATGGAGAGAAAAATGAAAAAAAGGAAAGAACCTACCAAGCGTGGTTGCCTGTGCGGCGACATTGAGGACGATCTCGGCATATTCTTCGTCGTCGTCGTTGCCGTTAGTGGTGGCATTGCCGTCGGCGACGGCAGTCACGATTCTCGGCGACGAAGTTGTGAGAAGGGGCCGGCCATCGTCGTCGCCAACGAGGGTGTAGTACTCGCTGTCGTCGAGGGTGCGAGGATCCTTGTCTCTATCGTCGCTCTTGTCGTCGCTCAGCTCCAGAGCGCCGGCGGCGGTGCAGAGCTGTCGGACCATGTCGACGTCGACGTCGCCGTTGGCAAAGGGGTCGGCGTTGCCCTTGTCGTTGCTCTCGTCGGTTATGGGTACGGCGGGGATGCCGCGGAGCCAGTTACTGCGAGGCTGGTGATTAGACTGCTTCTCGCCGGTCGTCGATTTGCGGAAATTGTCAATGTAGCGCTGCGACAACTCGTCGAACATGTCGTCGACGTTCTTGCGGTTGGGACTGGTGGCCATTGTGAAGACGCGTGATGAAGAGAAGAGGGAGATGATGAATGGGAATGAGCGCCGCAACAAACAAGTGGAATGAACAAGAGGTGGTGAAAGGATTGGTGGGAAGGTGGGTTGATTGGAAGACTGTGACAATTGCTGCTTGTGTGTGGCCCAGGACTTCTCTGAGAAATGGAGTTGACGAGAGGGAACAACTTGGACAACAACAGACGCACGCGTGAGCTCAAGAACGTGGATTCGCGTTGATTGAAAACGGATCACCAATGTCTTGCTTAGGGAAAGTACGTTTCAAAGACTTACGATACTCTGTCCATTGTAGATGTGCAACAGCCTTCAACAAGAACGTGTATTGTTTCTGGTTGACCCAAGAGTGAGAAACAATGGGCAGCAAGAACCGAATTTATACCCCCATGGATGACCTAGTCTGATTGATGCAAACGAAATGGAGCCCTAGGAATGGCCAGGCGTTCACCTCTGCACTGAATAGGCTTTTCAGTCTGCTTGTGGAGATCAATGTGACAATGATCTGACAAACAAGCCGTCTGGTTAAGCCATCAGTGACCATGAATCAAGTCTTATTGCTTGTTGTCCAGTATGGAAATTTCTGACTCTTTCAACTCAACGCAAGTGACTTTGTCTTTACTCAAGACAAATGTCAGAATATGCGTTGATGTATAATAACTCATATTCTTCAAGACGTAGTATCAGGTTTACCATGGTCTGCTCGGATTCGTCGAGTTCGGCCAGACGGACTGCCCCAGCTGCAGTACTACTTGAGATCATGCAGCCTTGATGCTTATATTGTAAGCCGTTGGTTGGCGCTGCTGTTTTGATCTTGTTGTGGTGAGCGTCTGTCGCAGGTGGCCGTTTGCCATTGCCCTTGACAACCTCCTGGTCCGCTCGCACATTATCTCACTTGCCCTAAGCATTGTTGGCTCAGTCGCCGTTTGTTGAAAGGGGATCATCCTTTCTCAGCCAATGTCTTGTTTCCTGGCACTTATGCTCGTCTCTCCCCAGCTCCTCGACTGTACCGCAGTACGATGTAACCTTGGATATTCCTTGGAGACAATCATTCCAAAACGTATCGACTGTTGGGACGGGCTCCATGAATTAATCACAGACTCCCATTCAATTCCCAGCTTGGGCTTGATCTCATGTTTTCCATATCGATGCTGTTGGACATTACAATGGCTCATTTTATTCATGTGATATTTAATGGTTCTTTAGCAGTTTTAAGTACATTCTGGATAACAATAGCTTAAGGAAAGTCTTATCTCATACCTATTTGGTCTTGAAATAATGCATCAATGCCACCCCCGGTTTGTAGAGACCAGCAGAGATCATGTCAAGACTCCCCACGCCAAATGAATGGGCATAACAATTTGAAATTACCAAATATTTTCCGAATAGTAATTGTTGTTATCAGAGCATTTAGGTACTCGAACAAATGTGAACTCTGCAAATAAAACACAGGTGGTGCCGATGATATGGGCTGAAATACTCATTACTGAGAATTATCATTGTGGAATTGAGAAGAGGGTAATCGTAGTAGAAGATATTTCTTCCCACAAAGTAAAAGTTTTTGAAACTCAAAAATTCAGGACGCCAACCCTGGAAAGTTTTGATAGAGTTCATTTTGCTATGGCTGAATGCATTGAAGTTGTGTGCACTGGGCCAACAAGGTGTCAACATGGGACAACTTCGGGCAGCGCGACGAATCTTTACAGTTTGGCCGCCTAATATGATCCCTTTGCTTTGTCTAGATGCGCCTGGCTAACCAAGATGCCCAAGAGATCTTTCTCTGCTCAAAATGAGTCTCCCTACATTACCCGGGTTCATCCCTCGCGTGGCACCCTACGTTGACGCTCTGGATATCTACTAACTTTCAGTTGTTCAACCCCTATGTCACTTTGCACATGGGCATGTTGTTGTAGCGAGTCAGTACTTGCTAACAGTCATCTTTTTTCCCTCCTTCGCTCAACGTAATGTCGGGAATTCCAGGGAAACCTGATTGTAAGCCATGTCCCTACACTGTTGAGTCAGCGCACGCTGGAGATGACCACGACAATAAACAAAATTTTTACCACATGACCCTCAATGCATGAACCGATATTTTCCACGTAGAGTTAACTTGCACTGGGAGAAGTGTTTGAGTCGAGGAAGATGATTGGCCATCGATTTCCCATTCTGTCTGGTATCTGAGAGGCCACCCGCATGAGATTGTCTCTGGTGTTGTCCTCACGGGGATCGTTTTGCCTTATCAGTGCAAATGTCATTGGATTATGATCTCGATGAGCCTTCCTTCGTACCCTTGGATCCATCTACATATGTCCACCGCATTATGGGCGAGCCTAGGTCAGAGCGACTATGGCAATGAGTTATAAAACGAGTGTAACAACAAAGCATTGAATTTTGGGGAAAATAAATGGCCAATCTGGTAATATATTCGAATCCACGGCAAGTCTTGCCTAACTCAATGACACTGAGCTCGTATTACGACCCGAAAGACACAACGAGGTCTCAAGGAATCAAGTGATGGGATTGAAGAGCAGACACCTTGAGTGCAAGTGGTTGCACTGTCTAGCAGCGACAAGCACCTGGACCTAGAAAGTATTGCAGAATCATATTATTTATTCTCCCTCGAGAGCCATCAAACAATTCGAGTGACAACGGCATTTGAAACGGGTTCAGTGACGTGATGTGGATCTGTTGGGTCTCTGACATTGCTTACACGCAATGTCAGCTTGATCAAACGACCAACGCGGGAATGATTGAGTTTATAGAAGTCTAGGATAAATTGGGGTCAATTTTCCCACTACAGAAGACTGTTCGGCCAGTAACGTCTACCGAACCCAGGGACATGGGACATTGAAAACCGAACTACCTACTACATAGTATGTTTCTCTGCGGCACAGCCTTCGTGGCGACGTAGACTACACCCCACTCAGACCAGATCTGTACTAATGACCTAACCTACCTGTAGGCACCCATTGACTGATGATACTTGGTATCCACTGTTGAATGCATGTAAGCTTGCTCTCTTATGTCCCACGCGTATATTTATCTCGCACCACCGCTGCACGAGACCTAAAATGAGGATGTAACTGCCCATTGAAATTGGCGACGAGATTCCCATCATGGTAAGCTCTCACCGACTCCTCCGTCAAAGCCCCGCTCTCCGCTGAATGCCGTGCCAGTCAACCAAAGAAAAAGTCATCATGGACACCATATGCGAAGCATGCCGCGCAATTGACTTTGAAAAAGCCCTGCAAATTTCAGCAGAACAACTCAGGTCGATTCGTGACCCCTTCAACAAGCTGACTTTCACTGAGCCATGGATACTTCTGGAGGAGAACACAACCCGATTCGAGAACGCAGAAACTGCCAGCTGCCCGCTGTGTTATTCGTTGTATCTTTCACTGTGTCCTTGCGAGGATGAATGGTCTGAACCCGAAACCCGCGATGCAGCCGCATTATCGCCCTTTGACTTGCAAGCCTTGTCCTTTAATGAAAACTGCCTCTGGGCGCAGGGAGACGTGGACCCCGCAAACGATTGCCAGATTTTGCTGGCAACGCGTGGTATGACGAGCTCAAATGGAAATTACGCCTACCACGTAAAGCGGGAGTCTGGCTATGTCGTATGTCTACCAAAGGAACGGCGAGAGCGACCTTTTATTCCTCGGGAAATTCCAGACCATTTCGATGTGCGTAAGGCCAGATCGTGGCTGCGCAGTTGCAAAAAGGATCATGGACCGCTGTGCAATCAAGACGTGGGGATGATTCCTGGAATGAAAGTCATCGACTGTGATACTTTGACGGTTGTGGAAGCAGAACCGGAAATGATTTGGGTGGCATTGAGTTACGTCTGGGGTAGACCGGTCTGGGGTCATCCAAAACCGGACCGACACTCTGCAGACCCCGAGTCGATTCCACTTGCACAGCGAATGTCAAAAACGGTCAAGGATGCCGTCAAAGTCACCAAGAGCTTGGGTTACAAGTATCTCTGGGTTGACCGATTTTGCATCGACCAAGGAAACTGGCGCCATAAACAAAGCCAAATTGGACAGATGGATGCAATTTACCGTGGTGCCGATCTGACCATCATTGCCGCAGCCGGCGAAGATGAAAATCACGGACTCCCTGGAGTTGGTGATACAGGACGTAAGAAACAGCATATCGTCGAGTTGGACTCCTGTACAATCTTGAGCACGGGACCTGACCCGGCCGTGGAGGCCCAACAGTCCTGTTGGTCAAGCAGAGGCTGGACTTTTCAGGAGGATCTTCTATCCCGTCGGCGACTTTTCTTCACTGATCATCAATCTTGGTTCGAATGCGGAAATGCATGCTGGATGGAAGGACTGGGTGGTCCGGAACTTTGCGACTCTTTGGATGAAATACATGCAACCGCCGGGGCCAAGGTACTTGTGCGCAGCCGACTATCGTCATACCATGACATTCACATTGACCACGTGGAAGGCCGCGATTCTGCGGACGCTCAAACATTGGGCCTATTTTTCCAGTTGGCACACCAATACTCCCAAAGAAAGTTGACATTTCACAGCGACATCCTAAATGCCTTTGAGGGAGTCTCCCGTTATCTCCGAAATAACGGACCGCAGCTATCTCACTTCCTGGGAATACCATATATCCCATCTCTTTTGGGTCTTGAAGCTGCCGAGAAGTATTGGGTTTTCTCCCTATGTTGGTTCCACAGCTCCGAGGTGACACTGCGAATGAACCCATCTCTGTCTTGGTCTTGGTCGGGTTGGACTGGCGAGGTGCAATGGATGACCAATCGCCCAGAGGGATCTTTGCAGATAATCCCAAAGATCAGAAATATTCAGACCAAGAATAACGGAGAAACGGTGCCATGGGATGCCTTTCTTCGTTCTTGGAGCCCAAATAAGTCTAAAGTAAATGACCCGGCTCTTTACTTTGAAGCTCGAGTGGTACCGTCATACATGTTCATACAATACTCCCCAGAATTACACGGTGGAGGGGCTTGGGAAAGTGGTGCGTACAATGCTGATGATGGTCAAAGTGATCAACCTGCTGATATGGTTGATGGGCAAGATGATGGGAATACCACCGCCCATTCAGTGGATCTGAGCGAACATGGAGAAGAAGGCCTGGGAAAGCCTGAAGTTGACGACGTTGACGATCTGTTTGATAATACTGCTTTCACCCCCCACCTGAGTGATGGACGTGACTCGGACTCGGTGACGAGTGAACTTGATCCTCAAGACTGGAAAAACTGGCGGGTGGGCAAACATCAATTATTGGAGCACAGCCAACCACCGTGCACCCCGCTGGAGTTTATCAAAAATCTTGATGATAATGGATGGACTTGTCTACTCCTTGCAGACTATGACGGCAATGCCGGTTACACTCACCGACGCTTTCTCTTGGTTGTTCGATGGAGGGACGATGGCACAGCATACCGAGTTGGCGCATTGGTTTTGAACCAACATTACTACGTTGATGAAGATGCAAAGGACTTTTTCGATGAAAGTGATCTCAGCTGGAGGTCGGTATGCCTGGTATAGTTTATCAGATACTGTGCAATTCCCAATGCCTGGATCTTGACCAGTTTCGCAGCCTAAACGTCAGGTATAGACTTGATTGGAATATTTGGCTTTTCATGTATAGCTTCATTTTAAGTCAAATTTAAAAGATAACAAATCTGCAGGAAAGTATCCAGAAAAGATATTAGGCGACTCCATAAGCCATGTTGAGGAGGGCTATTTCGAGAGCGATGCTTAAATAAAAATATGCATCATTTAGGCAGAGTACGGAATAGCTTGGTTGCAGGTCGTGAATCTGTTAGTACCTGCTAACAGTAGGACACGAAAATGCCCTTGCGATACGACGCCCGGTCGCCTAAAAACTGATGATTCCCAAGTGTTGACCAATATTCAATTAGCCTAATTGTCTCATTCGATAGTTAAATGATTAATCATCTGCAACATGCCCAATAAATCTTATCTACTTAGCCGATTGGTCAGTGACATACATTTTGCAGTCATGGTACCAAGAGGATAATGTGCCCTGAAAGCTTGTAATATTTCTTCAAATTTCTTCCAAAAAAACATATCGTGAAGAGATGGGTAATAAGCGACATATGTAATATACTCTTAAGGTACTTAAGCACAGACTGTAAGCTTCATTTAGTTGGGATTGTGAGCAGAAGCCATCACATGAGGGTATAGATAAGGACGCCGCACACCGGGACGGATTGTCCTCCGGGGGGAGCGAGTACCTAGTATACGCTTCTTAAAGTTCTGTTCCGTATGCACCACCAGACGATATGCATCTGTGCGGTATTTTCGCTTTCATTATTGCCACGCGCCACGTCGTGGCAGACCTGCTGCCTTTTGAGCGCATTCAGTTGAGCGATGCCGACGTTGACAGCTTCCCAGATATTGGTTTCGCTTCTTCAGATATACTCACTGACGACTATCGAGCTGCAACAAACTGTAAAGAATACCCTGGCAGTGCAGGCTGGCCTACCTCACAGGACTGGAACAGCTTCAACGAGTCTCTAGGCGGAGTACTCCTTCACCCTCTTCCGCCCGGCGCTGCGTGCTATGCTGGACCATTACACGACGAGCAAAAGTGCAAGTTTCTCTTGAGCAATGCCACTTATACACGTTTCTACAGCGATGATCCGGTCACTGTCCTGGCAGAGTGGCCGACTGGTAGTACCTGCTTGCCAACACTTGAGCCAACTGGCAATTGTACTCAAGGAGGATTGGTCACGTATGTTGTGAATGCCACGACGACCAAACACGTCCAAGCCGCTGTCAATTTTGCTAGAAATAGGAATCTCAGATTGGTGATCAAGTACGAAACAACTCTGCTCTTTCAAATTGACTTTGCTGATATTTGGAGATAGAAACACTGGCCATGACTTTGGAGGCAGATCGACTGGAGCCGGGGCTCTGAGTGTTTGGACTCACAATCTGAAGGAGTTTATATATACCGAGGAGTATTCTATCGGCCATTATGATGGTCCTGTGGCTCAATACGCCGCTGGCACCGAGTCCTGGGAGCTAGGCAATAGAATGGCCAGCCTGAACGTCACCATTGTTGCCCCCGGTGGCTCGACCGTGGGTGCTGGCGGCGGGTGGCTCAACGGTGGAGGCCACACTACCATCACCTCCACCGTGGGACTTGGTTCAGACCAGGTCTTGTCCCTCAATGTCGTTACAGCCGATGGTCGGTTCGTGACTGCTGATCCATTCACAAACAAGGACTTGTTCTTTGCTTTGCGTGGCGGAGCCGGCAGCACTTTTGGTATCGTGACCTCGGCGACGGTTAAGGTGCACCCGCGCATGAACGTAACCGGAACGTCTTTGGATTTTGCCTTTGAGGCCAACACGCCACCCCTAAATGGCAGCTTTGGCAACTTTACCTTGCCGGGATATTACGTCAAAGATGCCGAGACCTTTTGGAAGGGAACATGCCTTTATTACCTTTTTAGCAAGAAGACTGTGGAGGCAGGCGGGATAGGATTCAGCTACATATACCCACTCGGCAACGGGAGCTATAGCTTCACTGGATCGTCAACGTTCCCTGGCAAAACAACCGAAGAGGTCTATCGCTTCATGCAGCCTTTGTATGACAACCTCCGTGATGCAGGACTAAATGTTAAAAATGTCAAGCCAGCAATATCGTCTCCATACGGCACTCGAAGCACAGGGATGGGCGCGGTCCCCAACAACAAAAGGTACACTTCACGTCTCTTCCCGCGTACCCACTGGGACGACCCCGAGGTTTTCCAGCAAAGCATGGCTGCTGTTCGGGTCGCGGTGGAAGCCGGATACACGTTTCACGGCACGCTGAATGGACCCAGCTTGGAGATTGCTGGGTGGCCTGGCCGCGACAGCGCGGTGAATCCGGCGTGGCGCGTGGCTGTCTTGCACGCCATGCTCTTTTACAAGGACTACCTGGGCGTGCAGACGGCGCAGCAAGCCCGCGAGAGCGAGGCCGACATTAATCGGTACATGGACACGTGGCGAGAGTTGACGCCCGGATCCGGCGCCTACATAAACGAGGCCGATCCCGCGGAGCCAGAGTGGCAGCAGAGCTTCTTTGGGGACAACTACCCGAGACTTCTCGAGATTAAGCGGGACAGAGATCCCTGGGGCGTCTTCTGGGCACCTACGACAGTTGGTAGTGAGGGTTGGGCAGTGAGAACCGAGGACGATTACCCTCATTCGCAAAACGGCAAGCTCTGTCGAGTGAGTCAATAGATAGAGCTCTTGATTAATAACTCCCTTTCATAGGTTTGCAGGTAGTAGGCACTATGTATATGAATATGACCGAATGATGGTTGAAATTCAATATTCTTGCCGTGCATTGAACCCCTAGAACTCAAAAACGTTAGTGGAGACGCGACGTGACAGTGGCTCGTGCATCAGTGATTGCTGGTAATGAACGCTAATCACATTACCTGGAGGCCTAGCAAGGAGCCCACTTGCGTGTTCCCGCTACACTCTCATGTCTCTCTAATCCGAGTGCTCATCCTTTTTACAAAGCAAATCCACTTATTGGACGTGATCATTGTGATAAATCCTACATTGAAAAGACCCGACATGGAAAGATCCCTTGACGATACATGGGTCCAGCACGATGGAGACTCATGGTTCAAATTGGCTGCCCGTAGCCACAAGAGAGCATTGTTCAGATACAGATATCACAGCCCTGATGAACCTCAAATGCTCCTGGAGCGCGCGATAAGAAACAATGATATCCAAGAGACACGGAGCCTATTACGGCATGAAGTTCGTCTTGTATATAAGCAGTTCGAGGCCGTCGCCCGGTGTCGATCGCTTGTAATGCTCAAGCTTCTGGAACAGTTTGGATTCCCGTTCTGCAAGGAGGGTGCCCCCTTGATGATGTATGACCTCCAACCCCGTCGGACTTGAACAATGCCGCTAATCGCGCCAAAGCGGTGCCCTTGACTCGGAGGAGCTGATTGGTTTTTACCTTGACCAAGGTATCGACATTCATGCCACTGAACAAGTCTTGTAACAATCGCACATAAATTGGCCTGCCCGCACTGCTTGGGGCAGGGCTAAGCAAACCTCCCTGTTCCTCAACCAGGCTGCGCAGTCGGGCAACGTCAAGATGTTTGAGCATCTGATATCCCGGGGCGCCGACGTGGCCCAATGCGATGCGCTACATTATGCTGCTAGACATGACAGTCAAGACCTTGATACAGTGACATCAATCATGCGGCATTTCATCACCAAGTACAATCTCGATGTGGACACGCGCGATAGATCTGGTGGACTTCCTCTAAGGGAAAGGATTGATCGTCCGACCATGTATCGTACTGGACAACCCGTGAGATGGGCCGCCTACTACAACAACCCGATCTCACTCCAAGCTCTCATCAACTTGGGCGCCGACCCAACTCCAGCCTTGTACCACGCCGTGTACAGCGACCGACTAGAATGTCTAGGGGTCCTTCTAGATGCGGGCGTCGAGCCATCAGAAGCTCTCGCTCTCGCGGTTTCCAGAGATCAACCCGAGGCGGCCATCTTGGCGCTCGAGTACGGCGCCACCGCAGACAATGCTTTGATGCGACGTGCCCAGTTGCGTGGAACTGGAAGCTTCAATCCAGGATTCATTCCAGCAGTCAGTGATAGAATGTTGGAGATTTTGAACGCCTCGCAACATTATAAAGATGTGTGGTCGTCAAAGACACGGATCCGAAGAACGGCGTGATTCGTCTACATCGGTTGCCTCACACAATCTTTGATTATGAAGGATGTTTTAAAAGTTTTGCGCCTCAGTGGAGGAGATTGAAGGCGGGTCGATACTGAGAAGGCATTGAGCGTGGCACGTTGTTTAGGTAGTAGTCGCCAAAAAAGCACAGGTATTTACAGATTCTTCCCTGTCGATAGAATCGTGCCCTGCAGATCATATTTCAGCTCATGCGCCATGTTTCCGAAAAGGCCCATACGCGTGTACTCCAAAAGTCGCACCCGGATATCTCGACGCAATTCGCTGACTGGGAATAACTCACAGAGGGCCTTTCTTTTGTGTAGCCTTGGTTGTCTCCCCTGGCTGTGGTCCGCTCCAGCAATAGTTCTGCGCAACATACTTTGCACTGGAACCCAGACCGGCGGAACGGCTCTCCACAAGTTATGGGACGTCTTCGCCGACGTCGATAAAGCGCGTGGGAATACTGTCAGTGATGCGAGAAAAATAACAACACAGAAATCCCCTTGCCGCATTTGCTGAGCTAACCCCGAGCAACCTTGCAGGCCGTCTCTGAGCCAAAACCGATGCCGGGAGGCCTGAATGGGACTGCGGCCGGCGCTGGGTCGTCAATTGCAGCATAGATCCGGTAATCCTGAAAATCAGTGTCATCATCATCGTCATGGAAGCCCTGGCGCATAACCTAGGCCTGCAAATATTCACTCTCGATATCGACTCACACCGAGCTCGACACCGGTCTCGGGACCTGCATTACGCTTGGCCGTATGTTGTCGAAGAAGCTCGCAGTTCTCACCACTGGGTCGTCCCAGGAGCTCATCGAGCTGGCCCAACACATGTCGATGGTTGCTCTGGTTCAGATCAATCACGAGCTGGTCGCAGATGTTGCAGGAATGGGCGAGCTTCGTCGCCACATGCTCAGAGGATGGTGCAGTCATGGTTTCGTTGTGCTCTTGGAACGTAGAAGGACCGTGAGGTGTCTGTTTTTGTTCGGTGAAGCAAAGCAGCTGCGTGGCATCTCTGAAAAAGAGCAATACATCTGGCCTGAAGAGGGTGATACAACTTGGGCCAGGAATATTCAACTCGGCCAACGAGAAATCTTGCCAATAATCAGAATTCGGAGGACTAGCAACGATGGGGACGTTGTAGTCCGATAGCAATGTTCAGGTGTTTAGTGGTACTTGGAAATCAAGGGCCTGATTTGACACTTTTCACGTTCTACCCTGCTTCCGTTGGAGAATAAGCGACTCAAGTGCATCCGGCGAATCACGTCTGCCCAAACCAATTCAATTATGTCAATTTACAGTTGGTGTTATAACGCAAAGAGCGCCAGTGCATATCATAGCGAAGGACTTTGATATTGGAGCGAAACCCGACCGTGTGAAGACGAACTTCGCGGTCACAAAAATTGGGACACGTTTCTCATTGTTGGGGGCGTAGCTAAAAGTAGGATACTGAACTACAGCAGACCATATAATTCTTGGATTGGTACGTTCGGAATATAGACCAGTATTTCTAGGATTCAGCATGCGGCCTCTAGTTTATTTACGCTTAAGCGGACGAAGCATTGAATCCCTTTTTGCTGATAACGATACATGATATAACTGCCTCTGTATTCTCGTACATACATGTGATCAACTGTTGCCAAGTACGTACTGTAAATTCGCAATTCATAATTATCATAAATGCAGTATATGAGCCTGCAGTGTAACAGCTTTGGGGCTTGCAGTTGGATGAGAAGGCTTCTGGCATTCAAATGTGATTTTGAGAAGCAGCAGCATTTTATTCTAGAAGTATATTTGGTTTCAAGAGTGCTCAGAAGCAATTATTCCTCACTATAAATGCGCTAGCGAGTCCCCTGAGCTACTCTCGTAGGTAGGTACCTACCTTTGTACTAATTTTAGCTAAATGCAAAAGGGGGGAAATGCGTATTTACTCTTTACTCTTTTGAGAACAATATATTGAACACACACCACTTGTATTGCATGCACAATAAGATCACCACGGATTGACAAAGTTACAGATTCATTTCAACGAACGAGAGCGTTTTTCTTCTTCTTTTTTTTTTTTTTTTTTTTTAGATGCTATCTTTTTCGCGATCTTCTTCGTTGTAAGTTTAACAGGGCCGTGAAGCACTCTTACGAAAGATTTGAGAGGCATCTTTCCATTATGCAAGACTTCTTACCCCACACAATCTCCCGCTACTGTAGTGAGGTCAGCTGTATTGCAACACTTAGGCTTTATCCTTTCCCAACTTCTCGAGATACTGTGCAGCAACCTCCACTACGGCGCTCTCAAAACTCTTCAGCTTCTTATCAAATAGCTTTTCCGTGTCGCTAGAGTCATATTCGACATTTAAAGTGTGCAGTTTTCCCTTTTTGAACACACCGTCCGCAACAGCCTTGGGGAACGCATTCTCAACATAGTCGAAAACGGTATCGTAGTTGATCTTGGTAGCAATCCCGTAATCTGCGGGGCCTTCACCCGGCTTCTCGAGGAACAAGACGCGCAGATGGATATCAGCCAAATCGTCGATATGCACGAAACCTCCATGAATAGGAAACGGTAGCTCTGCACCCAGCATACACATCATAAGGAAGTTGTTGGAGCTATTCTCCTGTTGCATCATACGGCTATCGAGCGCGAGCTCATTGCGGCCGAAAACGTAGCCAGGTACCACGTGGGCAACAGTAAAGTGCGGGTTGCGCGTTTTGACGAACTCATCGGTGCGATGGAATTCGACCATCTTGCTGGTAATATAGGCGCTGAAGACGTCGTCGTAGGTCTCAGGTACCGGGTCTGGCAGCGGCACGCGCGTCGTGGCGGAGACGACCGTTGGTGGAGGTATCATGCCTAGATTGCCCACAATGGACGAGGTAATGACAACGCGTTGCACGCTGGGGGCCTTGAGCGCCGACGCGAGCAGATTATCGGCAATCTTCAGCGTCGGTTGAAAGACTTGGGTAGTGGGGTCATAGGCTGCGTTGGGGACGGGAGCTCCAGCGTGAATAATATGCGTAATATCCTTCAGGGCTTCATCAAAGGCGCCATCAACCGCAAAATCGGGAATAATGGCTGGAGAAAGACGGTCACCAAAAGCCAACTTCTGGACGGCAGGGTTGGAAGAGACTGTCTTGGCCTTCTCTTCCGATCGGACCGTATAACGAACTTTGTGCCCAGCTTCGAGAGCGGCGACCAGAATACGGAAGCCGATCAAGCCAGTGGCTCCCGTGATCAAGATATGTGAGGTAGTGGCCATTGCAAATTCCAGCTTAACGGAGCCGTGTATGAGGATTTCTTAGCCTTGGTAGATACGGCGGGTGTCTGCTTCGATCTTATAGTAACAATAGCAATAGATCTAGCAGAATAAGGCACATGTCTGTTAAAATTTCGTGATGCCGTCAATTATACTTGTCGATTCGAGGGGCGGGAATATTTGGTTGGTGTGTCGCGCAAGCGGTAGGCTGGGTGAACAGCTAACCTACATTAGTGAGGTATGTTGGTTGGAGGGGGGGCTATTCGCCGTTAAATAGCGGGCCGCATTAGGTTCATCAGCATGTAGGCTGCAGGCAAGCAGGCACTTTTGGAAAAGAATCCCTTTCAACCCACCTTTCCGACCCCAATTATTAATCATTAACTACATACCTATCCTAGTACCCTCATGTTGTATTGACAGTCTTTCCGGGTATCATGCCAGCTTTAGTCAGTTAGACAACCAACAGCAACCTGCTTTGGCGCCATGCCCCGTCTGTGTTTTCTGCGCGTTAGTGGTTGGGGCGGGCCGTTTACGCCCCAAACGGGCCTCGGCTTGGTCGCGCAGGGACTGGGAAGGAGGATTACATGTGTAGTTTTTCATTGGTTGCGCGTAACATCACCTATCGTGCATACTACATCCGTACAGTGCGCAATATCTATATGCATGATCCTTCCGTTGGGATCAACATGCTTGATTGTATAGAGTAGATGCGTTTCCCATTCCGTCACCCTCACCTGCTGGTCATCCTGAAGGAGGCTAACGCACGCGTCGCATAAGCGTAAGCACTGTGACACTGCATAGATGTTGTTATCATGCAGGCCATATTACAAAAATGCGACCTTCGTGTGTCCGTATCCAATACGCCCCACCCCACTCAGATCGTTCCAAACGGCAGTTCCGATCTGAATAAGTAGAGTGAGAATGGAGCCCCCTGGACTCGGCCAATCGGGTCAAGCAGGAGCGCGTCCACGATGAAGTAAGGCAGATAAGAATAGTAACAGGTACGCATGATGTTGAGTCTGTGTCCGATGGAAGCGGGGTGTATTGCCAACATACCCAGCAGCGTGATTCGGGACCCACAATTGTTGCAAATATCCCGTTGAGAATCATGTCATCGAAATGGAAATTGCGCACTTGGTCAGATCCGGTGGATGCCTTTTCGAGGCAACGAGAGTAAGCTCATGGTGACGGCCGCCCCTACATGACGAAGAATCATATGCATATCGGTTAATGCAATGTACGGCTTTTTTGGCCAAGGAGTAAGCGTTGAGCTCAACCAACGATATCAGCCATAGGTAGAGGTAGTGTTTAGAGGGGACGGCTGGCTTACGGGCTTTATCGTCAAATGATTTCGCCCTTCCAACTATCGTTTTGTGTTCGACTTCAGCTTACTTTTTTTCAGCCTCAGCTACAAATTATTATGGCGGACCCAGCTAGCTTTCCGCCGGGATACTGGGAAGAGGATAATGGTCCTCGGGCGATTGCTGCCGCAACCACCATGCTAGTATTAACGACTTTGCTCTTTTCCCTTCGACTATACGCTCGAACTTTGACGACAGCTCAGCGGGGTTGGGACGATCATGTCCTGATACCAGCCTACATCGGGTTGCTCGGCTTAATAGTCGCTATCTACAGTACGTCACAAAAATGACACTCCTTGAGAGTATTTCCTTGCTTCTCTATACTGACTGTACTTTGTAGTTGAGGTTATTTATGCTGGCCTTGGAAAGCACACGGTTGTCAACCTAACCGAAGACCCCAGCAGGCTGAAGACATATCTCCTATGGCTTTATATACTCGACTGGTTCTATGTGCCTTCCAATATGTTATCTCGCGTATCGGTCGTCATTCTGTACCTGCGAATTTTCACCGATAAATGGGCACGAGCAGCCTGCTGGATAGTCATGAGCTTTCTGATTGGTAATTGCGTTGCGACAATTATCACAGCCCAATTCGAATGCACGCCCCTCGCTTACACGTGGGATAAATCCATCGAAGGTGGAACATGCTTCAACCAACTCCTCTGGTACCAAATCAGCAATTTTCCCAATATTGCCGCAGACGTCATGATCATGATTTTGCCAATCAAGACTGTCTGGTCTTTGAAAGCTTCCACTGCAAGGAAAGCCGGCGTTGCCACTGTCTGCCTGACTGGTAGCATGTAAGTCGGGTTGTTCCTCTATTCGCGTCATTCTCCGCTTACATTTACTCTAGTGGATTGATAGCTTCGTGCTATCGTGCCAGCGTATTTTATAACCAGGCCTATATTATTGCAAATGATCCAACTTGTAAGCATTCTACCGAGCCTAATTCAACTTTTGGCTAATACATAGCAGTTACCGATGCTGGTTTCTCGTGGACGGCGATCGAATGTGGCCTCTACTTTTCCGCCGCCTGTTTGATAGGGATGCGGCCGCTCTTCAATCGTCTACCAACTCTCTTTAAAGCGCGTGTCTTTCGAACCACCAACAGGTCTGGAGCGAATACAGATCACCATGGCAGTATGTCACGTATCAATAAGCATCGGATCAGCGAGTATGCAACTATTCAAGGCGATGACGAGGTGGACCGCAAAGGCGCTGGCGGAATCTCACTGCAGACTATGATCCCATCAGCTTACCACTCTCCGAACCTGTCTAGCGGCGATCAAAAAAGTGACAACATTCGTGTTGATACTGATATTCAGGTGACGCGGGACTTCGTACAAAACTATCCCTAATGCAGTTCATGTCCGTAGTTGAGCTCGTCGCAGCGAGATTGAGAAGATTGTGGCATGGTTTTCAAATAGACCAACGAGTGGAGCGCTGTTCCACCACCACATGTGTACAATAGCGGGACATTGTGTGGGGCAAGAAGCCTTCTTAAGCTTTCTAAAGCACCTAAAAAGCCTTTTGTAAAAAGATTGCTTCTCATAAGAATGCTTCATGAACGAAGAATGCTTCTCGACCCCCTTGAGCATCCCAGTGGGATTACCACCATGAGACCACTGGAAGATATCAACCAAAATAACCAGCTTCGTCTCCGTGTTCTCGTAAATTTGTAAGTCCGTAAATCCGCAGTGACTTAATCGTAAATCCGTGACCTTATGCCATCTAAGTCGTGTGTTCAATTCTTGTTGTTGTTAGAAGAAAAGAAAAATCAAGTGTTTTTTTTGCCGTTCTGCCATTTTTGGTGGTTGGCGTTAGTGCACGGAAAACTGGTTATAGTGGGCGTTATGGCGGGCTTATAATGGGCAAAGATTGCTTCTACTTTTAGGCAGCCAAAATAAACGCAAAAAGGCTTCCCACCCCACTGCAAGCCCCGCAGCTGGATATATACTCTGTATAAACATTCCAACATCTGTTGGACCTGAAAAAGTCAATCATACGCCATCTATCATACCATACCTATCAAGTGTTTGATAGGCTCGGACTATGATTTGTCGCAACACGATTTGCGCCAAATCGAACACTTGCAGGTATGGAGCTGCCACTTTTGCTAACGTTGACCCATTACTTAGACCGTGCAGATAGTAGCACGGTTCACGTCGATCAGCAACACAAGTTCGTAAATTTGCATCATAAATGCTGACTGTGATAACAAATATATGGAAGAGTGAAATACGTATTGATGTTTGAGAAATACCGTGTTCGATTCCGCACGCTGCAGTCGATAATCTAAGAGCTTCCCGCCGCTGACTGGACCATAGGCTCAACCTTCTCAGTCTGCACATCAGCACAACCAGCCTGCACCTCCAATTTAGGCAGGCGGTGCAACTCTCTTAGTGGCTGACTGCCGCTCCTGTTTGTGACTGCATCCCTCCTCCATCGGGCACTCCACGCGCCATTGTTGTCATTTTGCCGAATGTAGTAAGCCAAATCTGCTGTAGGATCCCATTCCGTCTGCGAGGTACCATTGCCCAGCCAACTGAAGCGGTTGCCTTTATACGTGACCTCCCAATCATCCCAACGCGGCTCCCGAATCGCCTCGAGGTAATGCAATGTGCTGCCGGGCCAGGTGGTGGGAACGCGCCCGCCAATCGCGTGATTATTGTGTGAGTTGCGACAGCTGTCGGTCCAGACGGCGCCACTCATGAATTTCGCCACGTGGGATTTGAAGTCATCACAGGCTTCCCTTCTCAGTGCCATGCTATGCATCGAAGGCTCGGTCTGGTATCTATCTATCCAGGCACAAATATAGTCAGCTTGGGCCTCAATTGCTATCAGCGTCGGACCATTGGACACGGGCGTGTAAGGGCCCAAGAAGGTAAAGGTATTAGGGAACTCGGATATTCCCACGCCCATGTATCCCATTATGGAATCGGCCCATTCGGTTTGAAGATTTCGCCCCGCCGGCCCGTAAATTGGATATCGCGAAATATACGAAGTGTCGAAACCTGTAGCACATATCGCAACGTCGCCATTGTGGACAGTTCCGTCTTCAGCAATGACACCTGTTGATGTGAAAGACCGGACGCCACTGTAGATAGGCTTTACGTTTTCTTGTTTCAATGTCTTGGGTTGATTAGCCTGGGATCATGTTCCCGAGGGCAACGGACCACCTACCTTCAGATATCTGAAGCCTGAGGGTATAACTCGCTTACACCCGACTGAAAACTCCGGAATCAACATCTCTTCAGCTTCCTTGTCATTGAGAATCTTCTTCATCTCTGTTGTGAGCAGCGTTCTGCATTGGTTTTGCAGTTTCGTTTGTTTGAGGTAGAGGGCTTTTCAGCAGTTAGTCACACCCAAGTATCAATGCTTAGCCAACCTACTGAACAAGCTATTCATGGTCCTCTCATTGTTCTGTCGCAGCTCCAAGACAGTTTCTGGCTCTCTCATGAACTTCGCAATTTCCTCAGGCGTGTAATCTCCTGCCTCAGTCGAGATATCTGGCAAGACCCATGCGGGCGATCTGATGAAAATCGTCACCTCCTTGACGACAGGTTGGATAGCTGGAAGAATCTGCACTGCAGAAGATCCAGCGCCGATGAGGAGCACTTTTTTGCCTTCTAGAGATATGCTCGTGTCGTAGTCTGCGCTGTGAACTTTGATGCCCTGAAAATCCTCGAGTCCGGGAAGCTTGGGCCATGCTGGTTTATTCAGATATCCACAAGCATGAACAAGAATATTACACCAGTCATGAACAGTTGCTCCGGTCGCTAGATCTCTGGTCTCTACCTTCCAGATACCTTCATCCTCCTGCCAGGTCGTCTTCTCTACTAAGTGTGAGAGCTTCAAATGTCTCTCAAGCGCATATGTCTGCGTAAATTGCTCGAAATAACCCTGTATCTCATCGGAGCCAGCGTATACTGCAGAAAAGTCTGCCTTTGGCTGGAAGGAGTAAACGTAGTTGTGAGAAGGTACATCACAGGCGCAGCCGGGGTATCTATTCTCATACCAGGTACCTCCCACTTTTGGATTCTTGTCATAGATCTGCAAATTCATTAGGTTACATCCATTGTTTTCAACCCCTCCCCGGAAAGTTTCTCACTGTGAGGGAATATGATCGAAATGATCGTTGCAGTTTGTATGCCAAACACAAACCAGAAGCACCAGCTCCAACACAAATCACTTTGACGTGACGCTCGTTGTTGATGGCTTCTTCCCGTATCGGATCCATGGTGATCGACTCTGTCTCTTCGTCAGGGGTGTGATCAATATCGTGATCAAGTGCCTGTACAGAGTAGAGCTATAAATTTTGTGACATCGGAGGCAACTTAACTGCTGTTTGCCCTAGACCAATATTCTCGGACGGATCGAGCCGCTCTCTCGGGCCAGGCCCCCCCCTGGGAATGGAAGGATGAATCATTTGGGGGCTAGCGTTCGTGTTGGGGCCTTCGGTGCCGCAATCATGCACCGTAGATGGATTTGATGACTGGAGGAAAAATGCCGCATTCCAGTCCGCACAATGGTCCAATACAAGTAATGAGACTGACGTGATATCTTACATGCGCCACTGCCTTACAGAAATGCGCCACCGCCTTACAGAAATATACGGTCTACCCAGTCATGCCATTAGTGCCCGCACTGTATGCATATATGCCCCTGTATTCTAGCTTACAGGGAACCCAGCCTTAAGAATGCGACCACTGGTGCAGTATGACTAGCCCCCAAAACTTTTGTGACGGGCCACCCCGCCCCTCCTCAAGGCGAAAACATATGCAGATGCTGCAATGCAACGCAACAAGCGCAGAGCTAACCGAAGGATTCAAGACATTGATGGATGATCCCATCTTATCTCGGGTATGCATGAAAAATTATCAACCCATCAATCGCCAAGGAAACTGCAACGTAGAACAAGGACTGCCGTTTCCTAGTTTGAAGAATTCGTCCGTACTTCATCTAAGTAAAGCTCAAGTCAATAGGATACAGTACAGTAAGTGATTTGTGGTCTGGAGATAATTTTCCATCCTCGACCTTGTATTTAAAATAATCGTGACCTAGAAATATTCAGAAACACTCTTGTCTACCGAGGAAATGAAATGATTCATAATGTACAGAAAATTGAAATTAGGACAAATAGAATTTGGTGTTCAATCTGATCTCGTGCTCCGCAGCACGATTTTGCCATAAGGCAAGGTGTTTGAAGCAGGGGACAATCCAAGCTCAACATTCAAAAGGATGGAACCGAACTGACAGATCTACCGGACCAGTTGCCGCGGATTGATATATGATACGAGTCGCAATCTAGCGTCAGTCTCTGCTGAACATCCAATATAAGTGTGCAGTCCGCTTTGATCCATCAGTGCCTCACGAGAACTGCCGTTTTGTTAACCATTTTTAAGCGCCAGGATTTCGGGAGTTGGTGATTACTCACAATATTGACTCCATAGCATCCTTGTAGTTGGACATGTTATTTTTGGCAAACGGGCCGGTCCTGCATGAGTGGGTACTCAAGGCGGAGATGACGGCTGCCTCATTTCGCGCATAGTGCCGGACGGGCAAATAAGCCTTGACTTTGGGACTGCTGCTTCCGTACTTGAATTCGACATTGTAGAGTATACCAGCCGTTCGGTGATCATTGGTTGGAAGCTCCTCATCTTCTGCAGCGTCCTCTGCTTCCTCGCTTCCGAATAATGCATAGTACAGCCTGCGCAAATCCTCCAGACCCTGTTCTATTCCAGGCTGTTGGACACGATCACCCAACGTCATAGTATGCCTGATAGAGGCAAAACTCGTATCTCTTGTTCGAAAATAGATCTTGAAACGAGACTCGCTGGGGTCCACCAAGTCTATGGCCAGCATGTCCATCTCTAGTGGTGGACTCGTTGGGTCGTCAACGTATCTCTGAAACTTCACGAGAGCTCGAAGGTTGTCTGGCGTATTGCCTGGTGCACCCTGAATTGTCTCTTGAATAACTTGGAAGTTCGTGCGCTTGTTTGCTTTTGCCTTGAATCCAGGAAAGAAGTAGGCCTTGCTCACGATGGCACCGTGGTCGAGGTCAAAGGCATAGAATACCGTGGTCGAGTGGCCTTCTACCGAGCCCTTGGCCTCTTCTCCATTAAGCTGCTGTTGGAAGTAACTCAACCACTCAATGTTGGTTTGGGGTAGTAACCGAACTAAGGTCTCTGGGAACTTTGAGACCATGAACTGGTTGTATGGATCTAGGCTTGTCCCCGCATCAAGTCCAATCGGTTCGATGGAAAATCTGATCTTGGGAGGCTTGTCACCCGTCCTCCAGTCCCAGCTTAGCTCTATGGGATTGTGATCATCTGTCATGAAGCTTTTCCATTGCTGTTGCGTGGAGATTGGAGACGGACCCAGACTAGGAGTGATTTCCAGGACGAACTTCAAATGATGATACTGCGATTGGCGGGAATATCCTGCCTTGTCCAGCAGAATGGCCAAGGCATGACCAGATGTCGCCCTGTTTTATTAACTGCTATCAGTATTGCTGCGTCAAGTAGGCGGAGGAGACCGGGGAGTGCTCTTGAGCAGAAAGGGGACTGGTGCTTGATGGAACATTTCGAGTATCTTACCACCAGTACCGTGCATTTTCATCGAGGGTCTCACGATATTCTGAGTCAAGTAATCGAAATGCTGCTGTTTGGGGACATGGATACCCAGGGGTTTCATTCCTTGTTTTCAAAGTAACTTCTCTCGACAGAAAGGTGCGAATGCCATAGATATGTGAAAGAAGTGAATGAATGAAGTCTTTGAACAGTTGGCTCGCCATAGGTGAAGACATTGTTTTTTTTTTTTTTTTTTTTCCCTTATGAACTGCAGAACGTCTGTATCAGATGAGAAATCGAAAATTCGGGCATTTAAACGTGTGGTGCACCATCATCACACATGAAAATGGACTGACGGCTATCTAGAGGTGCCGCTGACAGGCATAGGACCACGGGTCCCACATACACCACGACAGCCACAGTGCGCCTTCTGTCTGAGTCATCACTACAACGTTCAGTTGCACGGATGATCAGATTGATTTCCTGAATAGACTCGAAGGAGCGATGGCCGCACTGCTTGTACACTACTTGCGGTTTACGCTTTTGGACCCCAAGATCGTAACCATTTTGGGTCACATTATTTGGAAAAATCAGCCCTGTACTTTCGAGCAAGAACACTGCTTTCCCGATGATTGCATCTATCATATGACAAGATCTAACTACTTCGAGAGCATCTGACACCAACCAACGAGATAAATTTTAGCGGGGAAGAAAAGTTAGCCCGGGGTCCAGAGCGACACCGCCCCCACGGGCAGGCAGATTTTGTAGCCCCTGTCCGGAGGATCTGGGAACTGGCATGATAAATGTGGGAAGTTCCCGCTAACCGATTGGACTAGGTCTCAGCATAACGGCAACGTTTTGGTCCATCTTTGTCAAAACAACTGGCGCTTATATCGGGTTGCTTAAACCTCGAGACCAGTGTCACTTACACTTGCACATGTTTCGATGACTTGTCATTCATTACCCCCCCTCCCCCCCCAACAGGTCATCTAGTCTCAGAGGCTGTGGCTCTGGCAAATTAGCTAGTCGTGGATATTCATCCTGATAATACTCATTAGCTCCTGGAAGATAATGTCACCCATCTCAATTGCTCTTGGGTTTATTGCCCTGATAGCGTGCTGCCAGTTAATATGGACTCGGTATCGAAGACACTTGAGCTCCATCCCTGGCCCATTTGTGGCCAGCTTCAGCAATCTTTGGAAGGTTGCAGCCGTCTACTGTGAGGACATGCCGGGGTGGAATATAGGAGTCCATGAAAAGTACGGGCCAGTCGTACGAATTGGCCCAAGTCACGTATCTTTCAGCAGTCCAGAGGCTTTTCAGACTATTCATGCCTCAAGGCAAGCATTTGCTAAGGTACATCATCTTAAGAAGCACTGATAACAAAATGTTCTGACCTTATGTGGATTTACAGACAAATTTCTATGAAGTAGGCGCTCCACCTTATCATGGTGAGCTCCTTGAAAACCTTTTTTCTCTCAGAGATACACAACGCCACACTACTCTGAAAAGAACTATCGGAGGTTTCTACACAAAGACCGCTGTGAAGGATTTCGAGTCCAAGATTGACACGTGCGTTGGTCTGTTCATGAGTAAACTCGGAGAACACGTCGGCAGTGAAGCTTTGGAGCTCGACATGTCGATGTGGCTTCACTTGTTCGCTTATGACTGTTTGAGCGAGATCAATGTCTCAGAGCGGCTCGGTTTTCTTGAGGAAGGAAAAGATGTTGGGGGCAAGATCGCCTCTGCTGATCAAATATTCTATTTGGTCGGACTGGTATGTTCACAACTCATCCATTCATTTTTCTTACACCTAATTGAAGGAAATAGCTTACTCAGGCACCCGTTCTGCATTTACTTTATAATTTTCTCAGAGATTTGAAGCCTGCGGAAGAGGCTGAGCCCATATTTAGGGTGAGCCAAATTCTTATATCAATCAAAACTCATCTTTGTGCTTACGGTCTATTCCAGTTTACTCTTGATAAAATCAGGTCCAGGGAGAAAGCATCCCAAACGCAGAAAGACATGCTTGATAAACTGCTCGGGCTTCACCAAGAACAGCCGGACAGACTGTCTATACGAGATGTCACCGCTGCTGTCTATATAAATCTGTAAGCCAATTGCATCTCCGTTTACGCATTGTTCTTACCGGTCACTAGAACGGCGGGTCACGACGTGCTTGCGATTACCCTTCGTGCAATATGGTACTACCTGGCCATCAACCGGAGCATTCTAAACAAATTGCGAACCGAGATATTCGAGCTGGGTCATGACCTTTCATCTCCCGCAGTTCCTTGGGAAAAAGTCTCGAAGTTGCCTTACCTGTATATTTCCCTCCCTGACTGAACACTTGCTATGCTGGCCAGTGCTAACAACCAACAAAAGTAACGCCGTGATACAAGAAGCCTTGAGAATCCACCCGAATACGGGGACGATCATTGAACGCAAAGCTCCATCCGAGGGTGTCGTAATTGATGGTTACAGCATACCTGGAGGCACTACTGTGGGCGTCAACGCATGGGTTCTCCACCGAAACAAAGATATCTTCGGTGCTGATGTTGACAAATTTCGCCCCGAGCGATGGTTAGAAGCTAGCGAAGAGAAAAGGCTCGAAATGAGCCGCTATCTATTTTCTGTAAGTGACGGTAGCCCCTTAAAAGATCCGTGGATTATACTACTTGAGATCGGGCTTCCTCTGACTCCTTGAGTATAGTTTGGAGCGGGTGCACATACTTGCATTGGAAAGAACATTGCTATTATGATGATAACGAAACTGATGGTTGAGTTTTTCCAACGATACGATATGGCACTCGCACATCCAGAGAGGAAGTGGAGAGTCCATGGCAGCTGGGTGACTAAGCAGACAGAGATGAATATGGTTGTTCGAAGTCTGTAGAGCTCTGCTTCGAGAACATTTTCGGTGATTGATCTTCGAAGCTTGGAAACTCAATGTTGTTTACCAAGACAAATAAGGGAGATTCTGACACAGCTCTCCTCTTTAATGTCGTTACAGACAGCAATATCGCCATTTAATCACTTTTCCTATGCCTTCTTTCGTTGAATACCAAAAAAAAAAGAAAAACAACAGGGGAGGGGGGCTCTCTTCATATTCAAAAGTCATCATCCCAATATTTGATTTTTAGTATCCATTTTCGTGTCCATCTAAAATAGTCGAGCCGATGTGACAATGAAAATGCAGTTTGACGTGTTATGTATCTTGCTTTCTTAAACCGTTCTGTGAGTAACTCCCACCTACCTATCTATATAGGTAATGAACGCGCTCTTAAGAAGCAGGTTGACGAAGATTTCACATCAGCCAACACGAATTTTTTGCACATTCGGCGGAGCATCACATGAAAGTACAGAAAGAGTTCTTGACGTGTGCCTGAGAAAGCCGACGATGTGAAAATCAAAAACATTAAACCTGAAAATAGAAGAGATAAAGCTTTGTTAAAGGTCAGCTGGTATACCGTGGTAGTACTGTAACATATTCTACATATCAAGCCCCGAGAGCGGTGATTAGAATACGGAAGCCGATCAATTTAGTGGCTCCCTGGATCGGAATCTGGGAAATTATGGCTATTGCTGATAATTCTACATAACTGTGTAATGTATAGGTATATCTCGACATTTCTTAATATGGCGGGCATCTGCATTGTTTGCAGATCAGAATTCGCGTCAGTGTTAAGCTGACGTTGGTGGCATACGCAGCCGTGATATCTATAAGCATAATTATTCAGTTTCGCTGATTGCGGAAGAAGTTCTTATTGGCCACTTATGATGTTTACTTGAAAGCCACTATGAAACTGGCCTTTTTCTTTGATTCTTTTATTCTTTTTTCGAAGAAAAGAAAGGGAAAAAATACCTATATATATATAATCCTCGATTTAGTAGCAACGATCCTCGACTGCTACATTTATTATCGCCGCCCATCGTTATACTAATACGCTAGAAAGGTTTTAAATGACGCTTGAGCATGATATTATATAATCAGTATCCGTATGACGGTTGTTCGAACTGGGCAAAGTCCGCTTCCTGCAGGGACTCCGGTAAATTCCTTGCCCGCATCGCCACCCCGCACTGCCGCCGCCACGCCAGATGCCTGCATCTCAAATAAGGCTGCCTTAAAACTCTTCCGACCAGCCATTGGTTTTGTTTTGAGAATAATCAAGAAGACCCAGTCACAGCAAAAACTGCTCTAGCGCGCACCTTTGGTCTTGCCTGCAAATCAAGGTGCAATCTTACTCAATTACGCTTTAGAGCAATCAAAGAGCAGCCTCATTCTCACGACTGATGTTTTAATCAGCGACATCGACCGGAGCAGGAAACGTCCTGGACCACAATAGGGACCATGCCTTCTGAGCCAAGAACTGGGAACTACGAACAAGCAAATCGAAGAAGAGTAGATAAAACTTACGAGCTACGACGTCGAAAATTGATGCTAGCCGAACTGAATCCGCCTGTCAATACAAATCCTCCCTGTGATGAGGTTATTCTCGTCACCCAGGTGTCTCTCGAGGGCTGGTTCTTCCCCGGTGCTTGGGTCGACGGGCACATGGCGAGTGCGCGGTATTGCAAAATAGCACATCTTGGCCTTTGCGAGAGCGATCACCTTCATGTCACCGTAGTGGACGCAGAAGGCAACAAAGCCCATTTCCGGTGGCAAATGACCAAGAACCTTATCCACGCCCCCATGCAGCAAGTTCAGATGGCCGCCGTCATCGTCATGGAATCTTCTTCTGAAGCCGACAATATTCTCCAACGCTACGTTGCCAAGTGTACAGTCACCAACATCAAGGCAATAGTCACCTGGTGTGACGCGCCTTTTTGCCCTGATCGTGAGCATCAAGTCTTGATAGACGCAACGCGAATGAGGGCGAGCTTCAGCCACGTAGAGGAGGAGCTTGCCGTGGGTAGGCTTCCATGGGTCTTGCCCATAATGATTCCCGATTGGCCGATTCGGCTCCGACATCAGAAAGAGGATCTGGAGGAAACACAAGACCAGCTCTGGAAAAGACTTTCCCGCTCTAGAGAAGAACACGGCTCTACTAAGAAAAGCAACCTATACGCAAATGCTGTGACATGCGGTGAGCTAAAGGTGATGGCACCTTTGCTCTCTGACAGAACTGTGGACGATTCTCTGCTCATATGTGTTGGACATGACATTGTCAAAGATATGGAGGCCTGGCAAAGTAATCAAAAAGCAAGAGACATGACAGAAGACTGGAGACTGCAGCAAAACTCTATCCCCAAGCGTGTTTACGATGTTGAAACTGGACAGATCGTTCCTTGCACAACAGACACAGAATACACCGCTCTTAGCTACGTCTGGGCTCAGCACAGCGAGAAGACAACTATATCGATGATACAAAAACTCTCATCCAAAATGGGGACGCGTTACTGGTGGGTTGACAGGCTTTGCATGAGGACAGCGGAAGAGAAAGCTGAGGAGATCCCGCGTATGGCTGGATACTACCAAAACGCGAGAACAACCGTTATCTTCGACCGCGATCTGGCATCAGAGACTTTCAAATCTGCCTCTTTCAGCCGCACATGCTGGACTGGAAATGCACTTGAAAGTATGAGCAGGGAGTTGCAGACGGCCGTGGACTACACCACCTGGGCCAAGAGGGTGTGGACCCTTCAAGAGTTCGTACTGGCGAGCAGAGTCTTGTTTGTAACACATAGTGGGTTACTTGAGGGATATTTCTATGGATCCTGGTCAGCCGGAAGTCCCTACTGGTCATCCCTCTACTTCACGGATGTTCCATGGTTTTCCATTGTCTACGAGCCTAGCGAATGCGAGTTTCAGCGCGCAACTGTGGGCCGCAGGTTTGGATTTCTCAATGATAGACCAATCGGTCCGTCTAATTATACCTGGCCCCGACCGACACAAGGGAGTAGTCTCTCATTGGGAGAAGCATGGACGCTAGGCAAAGGAAGACAGTGTACCCAGAAGGAAGATCTCATTTATGGCATGACGGCTTTACTGGCGAACAGCAAGAACATTATAGTTGAGTACGGCATCGACTGGGCGGAGCTGATGAGACGATGTTGCCAATGGGGCCTTGTTCAGGCCGACGTGCTGACCTCGCGACGGATCTGCAATGAGCAGGGGGTGTGCTGGGCACCAGATGTATCCGACCACAATGTGCCGATACTATTTAATGGTGACGAATCACGCAGCAATACGGGCTTCGCACGCCCAAACAAGATGATAACAATGAATACTCTCAGCTCGGAGTGTGAGGTCAATTTACCTCAGCTGGATATTCATTGTGGGCCGGACACTGCAAAAGGTAACAGGACATGGGGAGTGCTTTGGTTCGATGGAATAGCTTACTCGGCCGTATTCATAAATGCCTCGATCCCACTGAGTCATGTGAACTGTACAGGTCTTCTGGTTGCGGGTGAGAGCAAACGCCTCTTGTTGGTGTTGGGGCAGATGAAAGGAACAAACGACGTGATCTTTTACAAAATCGGCATGTGTGAAGCAGTCATCAACGAAGACGAAGATGATTTGCCATGGGAGAAAATTTCGAAGGCGGCAAACCGTGTAATGTTAGGGTAGTGACTGTCATATCTATATTGGCGGTGTAGAATCACCGACTTTTGGACTCGGAATCTATTGGTGAGATCGGTTTATCAATCTCCATCGATCCTCAGTAACCCCATCTCTTCAGATACGCGTCGATCTGACTTGCATGATTCTTCTTGATCCTCTGAATCTGCTCCGGGGTCCGCTTACTCAGCCACCTTTGCGAAGCGAAATAAGGTGGGAATACTGCCTCAAGAAACCATTTTACCCCGGCCAATTCTCCGACGCCCTTGATATCCTGCGGCCGAAGCACACCGGCTCGAGCAAATTCCTCACTCAATACTTCCAAGGTTCTCCACGGAACATCAGCTCTCTCCTCTTCTGCCGTAGGAATATTCCCTTCGCACCCGTGGAGAAGGCACTTGACCCATTGCTGCATTGGGCCTTCTTCGAGGGGTCCGAGGAGGATGTGACCCAGTAGACCCATTGAATAGAAATACTCGTCCGCCGGAGTGGCCACGTGCGAGAAATCAAAGTCGAGCAAGGCTGTCAAACGATTGCTTTCGACATCAAAGAGCATGTTGAATATGTCTAGAGGCTGATTGTTAGTGATCTATTACTCGATGATGAGCTGAGAGTCGACATGAAATCCAACTCACCAAAATCTCCGTGCACCAATGTTGGTCGATGAATCGAGTTCTGCTCTGCTACCTTTGCGATTCCATCTTGGGCTACAAGCCTGTCGAGACGATCCCGCAAACTGTTTCCGCCGGGCTGCAGATCAGTCTCGCGCCAACCACGGACAATGTTCTCATTTCCATCGGCCTCTTGGAGCTGATGACGCAGCATCTGGGCATGCATCTCCGGATACGTCTCAAACGGCCCTCCACAGGGAATCGACGTGGGGCCCGTGACAATGTTGCCCGCTTCGTCAAACCGCAGACCGCCGTACCCCTTGACGCTCGGCGGCAGCTCGTAGCTCTGAATGAGCTTGAAGACGGTGGCAATCTGCGCCAGCAGGTCGCGCTTCTTTTCCTCGTCAAGTTGTTCAAACGACGTCTTTTCCTCGCTGTTGGCGCTGAGCCCAAACGTGCTGTCGAGCCCCACACCAGCCTTGTGCTCTTGCAACACATACCCGTACGTACCGTCCTGATCTGAGGGGGCGCATGAATTCCAATCGTATACCTCTGGTACCAGGCTTGAGCTGTACGACGACAGGGCATCCCTCATTAGTGTCATGGCTGCGACTTCATTCTCGACTCTTGCGTCATGGTTGACCAGTGCCTGGGGATTGGAGATGCGAATCACCACTATGGCAGTCTCAGCGGGCAGCGATACGACGCCCGGCTTGACGATTTTCTTGGTCTGAGAGTTGACGGCGTCTTGCAAATCATCCGACGCAAGGTCGATTTGATAAACGAAATTGTTTGAATCTCTACCCAAGGTCTTTAATCCAGTTACCTATGACACGATTTCAGTTCATGTCAAAAAGACGTCGAGATTCAAGATAAAAAGCAAAGAACCAACCTCGCGACCAAATTCATCGCGCAGGAGATCTTTGATGAACCTCTCCCGGTTTTCTGGAGTTTGCTCCATCATTGGCGACATTTCTTGGCAAGACTCAAGATTCTGATCAAATACGCGTCTGGCCTTGGGTTGAAGAAAACATTCTCGGAATCATATGAGAAGATGGGTCTTTTAATACCCGAGTCTGTCATATCATGTTCATCATATCATGTTCACATCATATCATGAGCTTGCATAAGCCACATGCGGGACATGGGTTCAATTGTCTCATTCATGCCTCGACACCCTTGTAGGTGTGCCTCTGATTGGGAAGGTGCGTTTCCAGCAGATGCGGCGCAGCGCTTTTACGCATGCCATGAGGTACTATGTATGCATTTAACTTGGCACTCACAATTTTGCATAAGAGTGGTGTTATTGATACCTTTCTCACCAACCATTTACTGGTTTGTACATTGTGTGCAAAATTGATAAAGCTGCAAGATCTTATTTCGTTGTGAGGGGGCACCACGTCAAAAATCCAGATGCTCGTTGTTTGACGAAGAGTCGTGCTTTCTCTTCCGGATCGGTTTGCTCATCTAAACTTCGTTAGTTTATAGTCATTGAATTCCGTGGTTTTGATTCCCAGCCCCTGGCTCATTGTGCGCGATGTTGTGAGCGCACAATACCGCATTTTGACGGTTTGAGACCGTTGTCTTGCATGCCTTTGCAGGGAAGTGAGGTCAATCAAATACACACTGGTTTGGATTGAAAATCCCCTGGGGGTTCTACGATAGAATAACCAACGACCACATTTTCCACAGCCTGCTGAGGGACATTATCAATTTTGGAAGCACCTATGTGACGGTACTGCATTTTGTGCAGGAATGAGCTGTAGCCTTAGTTGGACTGGGTCTGCTCGCTGCAAGGTGGGGGGGCGAGACTTCTAGCGCCGGATATGCTTGAGCTGGACGGCTCTGCGGATCTGCACATCGGCGACATCGTAACAACGCAATATTGTGAATGGTAGCCGTATTCCATCATCAGACATGCAGGTGTTCGGTTGGCTATCAACCCGCCAACTTATATGTGATGATCTGCAGCCCGAGGAATCATCAAGGGTGGGGACCCACCCGGCGAGTATGCAAGTCAAGCCAACTGCATACTTGGCTACCCTTTTGATATGCACGAACTTTGTTACATTTGACGCACCAAACCACTGCACTAGCTGAACAAAATGTGAAGCTCCGGACTAGGAACTAGCCTAATAGTGGTTATATGGTACGGCGCAATAACATTCGACTTTGGTTTATTGCAAACGATGATAAGAACGAACTTGTCTCTTGAGACCAATCAGACGTGACCGTCTTGCTCAGCAAGTGAGTGTACTCACCACACTTAAAACAATTGAACTCTTCCCTGCAGCCGCCAATTTAACGATACCACCATTAGCCCTGCTCCCCAAGAAAAATACACAATGGGGCTCTACACAGTGTTGCCAGAGAGTGTCCAAGAAGTTGATATCATCATCGCTGGAGGTATGTGGAATAGCAATTGCACTGCACGAACGCCATGATCAACCCTCACAATGAACCATGCATGAATTCTTTTTTCCATTTTCGGGAGGCTAATTTTGCATCCATAACTTCTAGGTGGAACGTCTGGGTGCATTGTGGCGTCAAGGCTAGCAGATGCAGATCCGAATCTTTCAATTTTAGTCATAGAGCATGGGCCCAACAATCAGAACAACCCTCTGGTTACTCACCCCCTGCTCTGGCGCGCACACTTGGCGCCACAAACTGGGACGACCATATACTACATCGGGAAGAATGAAGCTCAACTCGGTAATCGTGGTATCTACGTTGCTGCTGGTGGCGTTCTCGGTGGGGGTAGTTCGATTAATCTGTCCATGTATACGCGACCACAAGCCAATGACTACGATGCATGGAAGTCAAGAGGCTGGTCCTCCAATGATTTGATTCCATACATCAACAAGGTATGCGAGACTTTCTTGTGTGTTTCTTGCGGGAGCACGGCTGACAGGCTCCTATTAGGTAGAGACATACCACGGCGACGGACTCAAGGAGCACCACGGACACAATGGCCCAATTCATGTTTCCAGTGGTCCCTATCGCCAGAATGGAGCAGAGCGAAATTTTATTTCCTCTATGAATCAATTGGGCTACTCAGAAAACAAAGACTTGCAGGATCTTGACTCGAGCACTGGAGTATCGCATTGCCTCAAGTATGCAAGCGCAGATGGTACACGACAAGATGTCGCACATGCCTATCTACACCCAAGAATCCAGGATGGTCGTCACGATAACCTGGAGGTCCTTCTCGAGTCGCAGGTGACCAAGGTCCTTTTCGATACCACCACCAACCGAGCCCTTGGTGTCGAATATAGAGCAAATCCCGCATTCTCAAAGGAGGCTGCATCACAGCCCCCACGCCGGGTCAATGCTAGGCAATTTGTTGTTCTTTCATGCGGCACATTGGGCAACCCTCCCATCCTGGAACGTTCGGGAGTGGGGGATACGAAAATCTTGGAGAATGCTGGAGTACCAGTCGTGGCAGATGTGCCTGGTGTAGGAAATGGGTATCAAGACCATCAAGTCATCTCCTATCATTACATGTCCAGCATGGCGATGGAGGAAACAAGTGATATTGCATTCCGTGACCCTGCCACGGCCATTGGGTCGTTGTTGATGAGTCAAAGTCCGATTCTTGGTTGGAACGGCTTTGATGCATCGTCCAAGATCAGGCCAACCGAGACAGAAGTTGCTTCCCTCGGACAAGACTTTCAAAATGCGTGGGACAAAGATTTCAAGGACCTTCCGTCAAAGCCTCTAGGGACTGTGATCTTGTCGACAGGGTGGGTGATATTTCTGAAGATTGCCCATGTTCTTACTTGTTACTGATTTGAGTAGACTCCTCGACAACCCAGCAACATTCCCAGAGGGAGTTTATTTCTCCTTGGGATGCTACAATTCTTATCCATACTCGAGAGGCCACATTGTATTTACCCACCAGTCCGATGACCAACACACTATGCTCTAGGCTTACTGACAATCTGCGAAAGCATATCACCGGACCAGCGATGGATGACGCTCTTGGTTTTGAAACAGGATTTCTTGCAGACCATGCTGAGATTGATCTGAAAACACACATATGGTTGTTCAAAAAGCAGCGCGAAGTGGCACGACGCATGAACATTTACAAAGGTGAGGTTGAAGGCCATCAACCGGCCTATCCGACAGGATCAAGCGCCACCTTTGCACCTGCTGTCCCGACCAACAATAGAACTTTGATTGGATACACTGAGGAGGATGACGCTGCTATCGGTGACTACATTCGGAAGAATATCACCACTTGTGTAAGTTTAGTCCGTGGACCCACCCTTGGCGCAGTAGTCACACAGAAAGCTTTGATATCCATTATAGGATATAAGCAGATGCTGACTATAAACCATTCCAGTGGCATGGCCTTGGAACTTGCAAGATGGCGCCTCGTGAGGAACAGCTCGGTGTGGTTGACGAAAGGCTCAACGTGTACGGCGTCAAAGGGTTGAAGATTGCGGACCTCAGCATTGCCCCGCGTAATGTTTCGGCAAATACCAACAATACTGCCTTGACGATTGGGGAGAAGGCTGCTGACCTCATCATTCAAGACCTTGGGCTCATTTAGGGCAATTTGCGTAAAATTGGTTCTAAAGACTATACCTATTCAGCTTGGTCGGTGGTGTTATATCGTACATGGTTACCAATTGTGGGGAAGCAATCCAACATGAATAGTGGACACCATAGCAGAATGGATACAATCTTTCCAACGGTTGTCAAGTTCTTTGCATTCTGATAATTTAATTCCAACCCACTCGTCTAATAACATGGGGTTTTCAACTGCTACCCTTTATTTATTCTCACGATGGTTCATATTCGTAACACCTGCAATTTATAAGCTCAAAACTAGTATCAACAGCCCCGACCTTCGTAAATATTTATATCACCGAACTCGGCAGTATAAGTGCCAATGCAGGCGCCCGATGATTAGCCGGGACCACCCAGTTACGCCTGCAAGGTGTAGAAATAGAGAGATAGACAATATCATTAGCGTTGTTTCGGACAGCCGACGGCCAACTCTTCTTATTCACTTACAATCTTGGCTACCTTATCTACTACTCTGGGTACGGATAGGCGAGCATACAGCGCCGTCTTTGTAGGCGATGGACCGTAACGGTGCGCGCAAACCGCGTTCTCGCCGCAACAGGCCGTGCGACTTTTGTCGTTCGCGCAAGGTTGCTTGCAAGATCGAGAAAGAGCCCCCTTGCCAACTTTGCCTGGACAAGTCCCAAGAATGCACCTTCAATGAGGCAACGAAACCTCGAAAACGGCGTCATGTTGGTACAGAGGGTGCGCCCGGCACAACGGCGGGCAGCTCGTCAGCGGCCACAATTCATCCCGAAGCCGGCATTGCTGCAGACATGGGCTGGTCACAGTATGAGGACGATAACGATATGCTCACTAGTTTCCTACAGACCTTTGACCTCGAGCAGAACCTCCTGCCCGGACCCGCAAGCTTCCTCAGACCAGGCCCACACTCTGCTTCCTCCGCCTCCCCAGGCTCTGGTATTGGACAATCCGCTACTGGTGATTACCCCGTCTCGGAGATCTGTTCTGCTTCACAGCGTCTTATTTTCTTCTACTAGGTACATCGGGTTCTCAAGATCTGGAGCACCCTACTGTTGATCCCAAAAGTCGTCATGACTGGACCAGTACAGCCAAGAGATATGTCGGTCCTTCTGGAGATCTCGACCCATTTCTATTGGCCTACCGCTCCTACAACACCGACAACACATCGGTTTCTCATTTTGCCGCGATAGAATACCATCGCACGCGCCCGCTCAATGGAGCTGATTGTGAAATCTTACCGCCTGCGGTCTTCACCATGAGCCGTAGCATCAGCTCCACGGTTAGCACCAGTCTTACTGAAAATACCCTGCGGCATTCATTTGAGCAAAAAATCGATGATATTACTGCATCGGGGCTGGTTGCATTGTTTTTTAGGTTTGTCCATCCTTATCAACCGATAATCAGCCGTCTTCAGTTTCCAGCCGAGGAAGAAGGCGTATCTCTCATACCTCTGGGTCTGCTTAGTGCCATATGTGCAACAGCAATACCATTTGTGCTCTACGATGATGCCCTCTGTGTTGAATCCTCAAGGCTTCCCACATCGAGCGAGCTCTACGATATTGCGTCGGATGCACTTGCGAGAGATTTGGGGAACCCTTCAATCGTGACTCTACAGACTCAGCTGCTTCTCTTACATCGTCACCGTGATAAACAAGCTCCCATAGGGGATGCTTCCATCTGGTCACAATGTGGTCAAATGGTATCTTTGGCGCAGATTCTTGGCCTCAATGACGATTCATCGAGCTGGACAGCCCTCACAGGGTGGGAGAGGCGCCTACGGAAGCGATTATGGTGGGCAGTCTGGATCACTGAGAAATGGACAGCTCTGGGTCAGGGCATGCCAAGCCACATATCCAAGGCAACCTGGACAGTCCCGCCTCTGGATCGTTCGGATCTCATTGATGATCCTGGCCATAACGAAGAACCATCAATGTACTTCAAGCTGCTTGCGGAACTGACGATCATATTAAATGACATTATCGAAGCCTTCTTCACGCTGAATTCTACAACGCGCGCCATGGACGACTTTGGCAATTCTCTCCAAGTTGCCCGAGCACTTCGACTGAGATTGAAGGACTGGCATAACTCGCTTCCAGAAACGCTCCAGACAGAGCAGCAGAGTGGCAGTTGGATGATGGATGATTCATCAAGTCCAGATCTGAACGGAAATGCTTCGTTGGGGGTTGCTTTTTTCACTGCGCAACTAACGATTTTTCGAGCTTTGATGCGGCCGATCTCAATGAAACGCCTGCACTCTGCTATCGCCGGTCTCAGCATGGGCAGTCTCAATTCCTCAAAAATCACCCCGCAGTCTGTGTCTGCTACTCTTGACGGTGCCATTGTTGCACTGGAAAGCTTGATTCGGTTTGTCGGGAATTTCAACACGACAGAATGGGATGCTTTCTGGCCTGGGTGTATGTCTAGCCACCTGATTTATTTATCCGTCGACTTTTCATGCTTTTTTCGATTAGTACTCACATTGTTTATACTAGGGTCTAAGCATAATTTTGCGCTTGCTTCAACGTTATTGTTACAGTGTTGTCTAATCACATCCCCTACCGACAGTTGGCAGGCAAACCAAACATCAGCGCCTCAAGGAGCTGACCCGGATGCGCGGTCTCTGGGCCAATTGGATGCTAACGACAGACCTTTGGAAAGTTCAAGCGGCGCTCAATTATCGGCCGTACACGCTCGCTTGCAAAACCTCGCCCAGAGATGGCGATGGACCTTGCGTTTAGCAACGCGAGGAGCGGCCAACAATAAAGGTCTTATTGATTCCAGTCTACGGCGTGTTGATGCGCTATTGACGGAATGGAGAAGGGCACAGAGCACTCACTTTGAGCATCCCACCTGGGCCAATAGAAGGGACAAGACGTAGACGAAGGAGCTCATGGAAGAGCTAGCTGATCCTGTTGAGCATGTTGAGGTACGAGAGAGGTGTATTGAGGAGCTACATCTATTGAGCCATTGCTGGTGGTCTGCGGCGTATATCGTCCGCGCTATATGACAGAAGAATCCCACACTCAACTCCTCGATATGACCAATATCATAGTCGTTCGCAACATCTTAGAAGATGAGGGGAAACTACTGTCTAAATCCCGTCCGCCGCAAGCATTTTTGGTTCCACAACACCAGTATAGTCTGTTATCATTCGGTACTGATCTGGCCTTCTGTGCTTTGCAAAGGCAAATGTCTTCTCCTTTCCTCGTCGGCAGTCGCCTAGATCAATGTTCGCAATCACCAACTCATCCTCCTTGGTGCTTGCCTCGGCAAGAATATGCCCGTTCGGGTGGACGATAATGGTGCCCGAGATAAGAGAGTGCCCATCTTCTAGGCCGCACTTTGCAACATTGACACTGAAACACGCATTCATGTAACTGTTGCCCTGGCAGGAAAGCTTGTGATGAAAAAGCACCTCCTCCTCGGCTGTTTTCCGATCAATGTCCTCGCTAGTGCCCAGTAATTGCGGCGCATATGCCGTCGTATTGTAACCACAGAATACAAGCTCGGCCCCCTGTAAACCATATGATCTCCAGCCCTCGGCCCAGCGCCTGTCGTTGCAGATGAGCATACCAAAGATGGCATCCCCCGAGCCCTCGAGCGGGATAGCTTCACCGGGACCGGCTGCCGTTTTGGCGGCATTTGGCAGCAAGCCTGGCGCTCGGAATGCAGGAAAGCCCAGGTCCCCGTTTGAAAAATAGCGCTTCTCCAGCTGCTGCGTTGCGCCAGGTTGTTTGAACGGCTCCACTACACCAGGGAGATGGACTTTGCGATACTTTTGAACAATCCGGTCGCTGCGAGCAGAATAGTAGACGCTCGAATTGTAGTAGCCAAAACCGTCTCCCGTCGGAGCCTTTTCGGCATATCCCACATAAACGTCAATGCCTAGGTCCCGAGCATGGTCGAACAGCGGCTTGATGCCTGGTGATTGACGCAGGCCTCCGTTTTGGGGATCATCGAGGTCAAAGTATGCTTCAAGCTCGGTATGATCCATAAGATGGCGAGGGAAGAAAGTAGTGAATGCCAACTCGGGGAAGGCGACGACTTGAACACGGCTTGCTGATGCCTGATCGAGGAGGCGGAACATGCGCTGTAGGACCGACTCTCTTGAGTCTGCGAGGTGGATGGGCCCTAGCTGTGCAGCTGCAACCCTCAACGGGCGCTTTGGGCGTTGGTTTGTGTTTGTCATTGTCAAGGACTCTGGGTGCGGCGTGGCAGTCTTACTTGCTGTGAACCTTTTGATATGCACCTATGGGTTTCGTCCTACAGTTTGCAGTATGAGCATTATATCTGGCTGCCTTCTACCATAGTCTGGTATTCACAATGGACTTATCGAGCCGGTATAACAATACATACTAGCTACTAGGTTAGGTATGTAATGTAGGCGTCTTAGTTGGTCTTCGGCTAGCTCCGGTGTTTGCCGTCGCCGTCGCCGTTGATTTGGGTTCATGCCGACGGCCACTGGCCTCCCGCTCGCTTTTGACCAATCTAAAGTTGGAGCTCTGAACCGGAGTGTGGAAACAATGCGAGGATGTCTTATCATGATGTCGTCTATACCATTTCAAAATTTTGTCTTCCAACTTGCAATGCGCTGGTTTAAACCTCGGCCTGCTCACCCCTCACGACTCACCAAGATCAGCCACCAGCTCCGACAGGACTAGCAACAAACGCCCCCCAGACACCATGCTGTCGCAGCTATACTACAATGCTACAGTCATCACAGTCGATAAGCTTAAGCGAATCATCCTTGATGGGGCCTTACTGGTCAAGGACGGGCGCATAGCAGCAGTGGGAAAAACTCTCGAGTTGCAACGCGATTTGCCAGACGACGTGCTGCAAGTTGACCTCGACCAGCGTATCGTGATACCCGGCCTAATCAACAGCCATGTGCATCTCATCCAATCCATCATGAGAGGACTTTGCGAAGATCTGGAGTTGCACGAGTGGGCATCATGCGCCATCTGGCCCCTCGAGGTCTCCTTTCGGGCCGATGACGGCGCCGTGGCCGCCAAACTTGCAGTTGCGGAGATGATGAAAACAGGAACAACGTGTTTCCTGGAACCCATGTTACCAAGTTCTCCAGACAATGAATTCTCCAGAATCGTGGATGCTGTCGGGCAGTCAGGTATCCGGGCCTGTCTGGGCAAACTGGTCAAGGTACCCAGAAGCGATCCTTCCGCTGGTATACGCGATGATCGCGACGGAAATGCTGGGCAAATGACCATTGAAGCTGCAAAGCTGGCGCACGAGCAATACCACGGGTCATACAACGACCGTGTGAGCGTATGGATGGCGTCTGAGACTCCTCGAGGGCAAGATGAAGCGGGTTTCCAAGCGGTCGGCACCGCTTGCAAAGACCACAACATCAGACTTACCGTACACTGCGCCGAGGCCCCCGACGACTGCCACCTGATTGCAAAACACTACAAAGCGTCTCCCGCCGAATTCTTGCGGAATGTGAACTCGACTGGGCCGCATGTTGTAATCGGTCACATGGTCCACCTCGCTGAGCAGGACTTTGGAATTCTGCGCGAGACGGGGACCTCTGTCGCCCACAACCCGACGAGTAACGCCAAGCTTGCCGACGGAATCGCTCCCATCCAGCGAATGTTAGAAGAGGGTATAAATGTGTGTCTTGGGACGGACGGCGCGCCCTGCAACAATGGCCACGATCTCTTCCGTGACATGCATTTGGCGGGTATCCTTCACAAAGCCGTAAATACAAACTCGAAAGCCTTGCCAGCCGAGCAAGTACTCGAAATGGCCACCATTAACGCTGCAAAAGCTCTGGGACTGGAGAAAGAAATTGGCAGCCTCGAGACTGGCAAAAAGGCCGATTTTGTCGTCCTCAACCATGACGGGTTGCATGCTGCACCCTACAGCCCATCAGAGTCTGCCAAAGGAGGCATGCCGCCTTCTACTCTAGTAGTGCACAGCCTTTCGGGTAGAGATGTAGACATTGTTGTCATTGATGGAGAAGTCGTTGTTCGGGCCGGGCAGTTGGTGACAATGGATGAGGAAAAGGTGAAGAGGGATGCTCGAACCGCGATTGCTGGGATGAGAGCAAGAGCGAATGTCAATGCGCAGAAGATGGCTAGGGGCTGGCACTATGAATGAATCTCTCACATGATGACTTTACGTTTTTAAAACCATGCAAGACCACCTGGTATGATTAGTGCTAGTACAATGATTAATTGGTTTTTAAAAGCCTTGCCAGAGGTGCCAAGGTTGCAAGATAGAAGTGCGTGGCATGATTTTACTAGTACCCATCGCAGGGAGGCTGAATTCAAGTAGCGCAGTATTTTGTATCGATCATGGCATTGCAACAAACTATGCAGAAGTTTGGTGGAATGCCTAGTGTAAAGTCATTTTATTCTGGAAAGAAAAGAATTTACATATGCGCGATCAACAGGCCGTATTCCCATGATCTTGACACATGGTCCGCAATGTATAGGAGCAAATTCATAGCCTGGCCATAGATTGGAAGCAATCAACCGCCTCACAAGCCATTCCCCTTCCGTAACCATTAGTCTGCGTTTCTGCTGCTTCGCCAGTGGACGCTGGACGAATGCGGATGGACTCACCAAGATGCTTGATATCCTGCTCCGCCCGCTCCATAATTGTGTATCACCTGTTTGCCATTGATCACTTGACGTTCGATGCGTGCGCCTCCGACACGGCTTGCTGCAACGGTACTTAGCTCGTAGCCCAATGGTAAGATATATCATCAGCAATTAACTAACGTCGTAGCCCAACGGCATGATACAGGACCTTGAGATCATCCGGCCGCCCAAGTTCTGGAGCCAATTCACAGCAACGCTTCTTTATATCCTCTGCCAGATGAGGGTCAATATCTCCGCTCCATGAATTGTCCAGGCGGCAGCCACCGAGAACGACTCCGCCATGTGGTCCACGGGGGAACACATAGGTGGTGTCGTTATCAACCCTCCGCGGCGAGCGGAAATACATTCGCTTTAAAGGGACCTTGGGGGACTCTACAAGGAGGACCTGGCCCTAGAAGCAAGTCAGATTAGTGAGTTTGGATTCAGATGGTGACGGTTGCGGCCAACTTTTGTAGGGTAGACATTGGCATCTTGGACACCTTTCAGCCCCGCTGAACCAAGGCCTGTACAATTAAAGTACGCGCTAGCACTGGGATAATCAGAAAAGAGCTCTTGGATATCACTATAGATTCGACGGTGCATTTGAATATTTGCTTTGCGCGAGGTGGTTTGTAACCTAGAAACGATTTATTAATCGACTTAGGACAGCCAGCTAGGAAACCAACATACCATGGAAGATATATTTGGGTATTAATCACAAAAGTATCTGTATCATAGCCAAACACAGCTCCAGCTGGTAAAGCGTCTTCAGATAGCCTTCGCAGGCCTCCGACCAGCTGTTCGTACCAGATTTTGCCGGTCGCAACACTTAAAACATCGGCATCCTTGGGCTCTCGATCATAGATGGCTCGTATTTCCATTCGCTCTACGCCTGTTTCCTGCGACTGCCGAGCGAGTTTGGTCAATCTCTGGAAAGTGATCTCGTCCCATGTCTCCTGACGCCCACTGTCGAGAGCGACAGAAAGCCAATTTGCGCCTGCGACGGGAGAAGCGTAGGTGGGGTGTCGGTCCCCCGGGAAGTACTGCGCGGCAATGATTACACTGCTATTCGGATGGCGATTCTTCAACTCTAGAGCAGTAGAAAGCCCTGTCACTCCGGCTCCAAGAACAACGAATTGGTGTGCCATGCTTGCTTGCTTGCTTGCTGGTGGGGGGAAAGAAATGGTACGAGAGAAGAAACACCCAAGGTTTTACACTATTACATTTCTTGAATATATGCAAAAGTCTTCAAAGCCCGTGGACTGGGAGATATCTCACAAAGAGGTTCGGGATGCCCATGCTTGCTGTCGGGTCGGGCCCAATTCTCATCTGCATACCACTATAGGCGTTCACTCCCGAGGTGGGGGCGGGCGCAATCGCGGTTTGATCGTATGATCCACAGCCCTGGGAAATAAAAGAACGGCCTAGTCAGTGCGACTTTGGCCGGCGAAGTGCTCGCCGGCGCTAACGCCCATGTTGGCCGTGAGCTTGCAGTCGTCGTCTGCCACCAATGCAAGTTGGCAGAGTTCGTGAAACATGAGCTATTATCGTGGGCCTGAGGTTTTCCATCTCCCGGTAGACTATATATCTACGTGGATGAGCGAGGTCTTGGCAGGGCGTTCCATTGCCAACACAATCTTGTAGTTGACATGGAGCTCGATTCGATTATTGTTGTCAGATGGTGGGTTATGGTTCCCATACACTGGGGTGTGCTTGAGCACACGGATCAACACCATGGAGTCCAGATAGATATACGGGACCTCCCGGGGATTAGCCGGGGCCACCTAAATAAGCGTATATTTTATTAAAACTAAAAGGCGTAAAATATAGATTAATATATTATATAATTAATATTAATATTAAATTAATTTAAACTTTAATAGGAAAATATTATTTTAATTAATAATTAAAAGTTTTAGTGCTTTCGCCGAAGCTACGAAAATAATAATTACGAAAAAAGCCGGAATCGGCCTAACGGTATCGTTAAAAATAACTTCCGATTAGAATAATTAGGAATATACGTTTTAGATTTAAGCATAAATTACCGGATTAACTAATTATTTTAAAAATAAAACGATTTTAATTAAAATTTTAATTAAACCGGATATTAAAAAGATTAAATATATAAAAACCGCGGTAGTAACCTTTAAAGCTATAAACGAAAGCGATAATCCGAATATTTAAAATAAAAAAAACGAAAAATAAATAATAACGGATTTTACTAAAAAAAGTTAAAAATTATTTAACTTCGATTATAATTATTATAAAATAAAAAAGGCTATATACGCTAAATAATATACGGCGATTAAAAAAATTACGAAATAAATAATTATTACGATTTTTTTAGACTTTTTTTTTATATGCTATTTAATTAATAAGCTTTTGTATAAATAATACGAAAATTTTAGGGCTTGCTATAGCAAATTAGCTTTAAATAATAAAAAAAAGCAAAAAAATAATATTTCGAAGCTTTTAAGCCTTTAAAAATATTAAAAAAAGCTATAAATTAAATTAATAAATAAAAAATAATTATAGCGAAAGCCTAAATAAAGCAAATAATTAAAATATAAAATAATTCGGTTTAAGTTATAAATTTCCTAAATACCGTTATTTTAATTATATTATAATAAGCCGCCTTTTATTAAATTTATAAAAAATAAAGTATTTTAAATAAAAATTTAAAATATCGGGTAATAAATAATAATTTTCGTAAAAGCTTAAGTATTTAATAGCCGATTAGGCCAAAAATTAAAAAAAGCGCTTTCGCAATTTACGCTAATAAAGCTAATAAATAGCTTTAAAACGGATAAAATAAAAACGTTTATTTTATTAAAAATTAAATATTTTTTTAATTAAATACGGCTAATTTACGTAAAAAAAAAATAAACGAATTACTTATAATAAAAAATAAAAAAATATTAAATACCTTATTTACTACCTTTTTTACGCCTTTAATTTATATTTTTACGTATTTTTAAAAAAAGCCTATTTAAATTTCGTTTTTAAAAATAAAATATAAATACGAATAAATAAAGCCTTTAAAAAAAACTTTAATTTATAAAAGCAGGTTCGTAATATAAAAAGGATTAAAATTAGCCGAATTAGTATATTACGAATAATTAAGGAAAAATCGCTCCCGATTAATACGGATTAATAAAATAGATAATTAATAATAAATATATAAAGTAATTTTATAATATTTATAAAAAACTACTTTTTACGCTATTTAATTATTTTAAATTTAGCGATAACGATTTTAATTATAAATATAAAAATAAAGCTTATTAATTATAGGCAAATTTTTAATTATAATTTTATTTAATTAGGCGACCGGAAATTATTTATTTATAAATATAATATAATAATTATATAATTCGGATTTAAAATATTATTATTAAATAATATAGCTTATTAACCTAGATTGCTAATTATATTAATATTATTCCGTTAATTATAAAAATAAGGATATTATTAAAATAATAAAAATAATTTTATAATATTACGCAAAAAAAATAAATTTTTAATTAATATATTTTAAAACTAATATAAATAATATATTTTTAAATATAGATTTTATAAATTACCTTTAGCGTTATTTATTATTTACCGGAAAAAATATATAATATAAATAAAAAAGCTATTATTAATTAAAAAAGTTATACGATAATATTATAAAATAGGATACCTAGGCCCGGCAGCTTTTAAATACCTTATTTATTTATTTTAAAAGGTAAAAATTAAAGGACTAATTATAATAAAATATAAAGTTTGCGTATTTATAAAAATTAAGCGCTAATTACGGCAAGCGCTACGGCTAATTAACGAAAATTATAGCGAACGATTAGCTATAAATTTTTATAATTATATTAAAAAAATCGAAAATTATATATTTTAAATATTAATTATTTATCGGCAAACGGAATATATATAAAATTATTATTTTACGGAAAAAATTGCTATTATATTAATTAACGCTTTCCGATCGTTTTTAAGCATAATAAAAACTTAATATAATATTAAAATTAAAATTATCGAATATAATAATAAAATTACCAAAATTAAATAAGTAATCGGAAAATATTTTAAAAATAAATATATTAAATTTAAACCTTTAGCATTATATATATAAGCCTAAAATAAAGCTATTAAACGCTTAAAGGGTATAATTAAAAAAAAACGTATAATACGCACCGGCGCAAAATTCTTTTATTAATTTTAGCCTAAAATCGGTAAAACCGCGGTATACCTATATAATCGTATACCGAATTATAATTCCCGATAATATATATTATATATAAAATTTTATAAAGCAATTGCGAAAATAAAAAAAGTCTTAAATCCGAGCTATAAGCTTAATTAAATTTATTTTAAAATATTCGGATATAAAGCGTATATAATAACGCTAACGATATAATAAAAATTTGGCCGTTTATAGCGATTAATACCTAAAATATAAATAGGATATTTAATCGGATATAAATTATTTAATATTTATAAAATTTAGATTTTTAATCGGAATAAATTAATTAATATAAAAAATATAATTATAAACGAAAAAAAATTATATAATAAAAAATAAAATATATTTAAAAACGAGTTTTTAAATGCTAATATTTAGCTTATCGCCGATTTCGTAACTAATTACGCAATATTTAAAAACGAGATTTTATAAAAACTAAAAAGTAAAAAAACCGCCGCAAAAAATATTTTATTAAGCGATAATTAAAATAATTAAAAAAAAAATAATAACTAAAAAAATAAAAAAGCAGCGCTAAATAAAAAAAAATAATACCTTTTTATTACCGCGAAATTTGCCTTTTAAACTTTATTATAAATATTTTTATTAGCTTTATTAACATATAATATAAAAGCGATTATAATTAAAAATACGGCGCTATTAAAAAAAGGACCTAAAATAATCCTATAGCAAATAATTTTTTTAGCTAATTATAAAGCTATTCCTAAAGCAGGATAAAGCAATAATTAAAATAATAAAGCGAAACTAAAACGCTTTTTTCGTTAAAAGGTAAAAATTTATAAAGCGGAAATCCTAGCTTTTTTTAAATAATATTATAAATTATATTATTATTTATTTAGCAAATTATTTTTTTAAATAAAAGCTAATTATTTATAAAATTATAAAAATATATAATTTTAAACTAAAATTAATAAAAAGGATTTATAAATAAAAAGTAAATAAATCTTTAATTATATATAAATATATATATATATAAATTCGATAAATACGGGAAATTTTAAAAATATAAAGCAAAATTTATCGTTTACGGTAATTAATAGGCGAAATCCTAAAATTAGGAAATTTACGCGGTTATATTAGCTAAAAAATTATTTCGCATTTTAATCGCGATTATAGCAAAATT